ACACATATGTCCTGTATACTTCTCTTACAATGGAAAAGTGAGGGATCACTTGTTACTATAGTCCACAACCTACCTAATTCTCTTTCATGAGTAGTCGTGGTCACATGACCATGCAGGGGGTTGTGTGCAACTGACTAGGGTAAGAATCCTTTTAAAATGGGGGAGATAATCAATAAGTTAGTTGATAAAACAGATGAAAGGATCACTTTTAGTAATATTGATAATGCATCTAATACATATTGATTCCAAACAATGTCATTATGATTGAATTGATTTTCAGATACTTCATACAGCTGACAGTCTCATGATTAAATTTCATTGTCACGTAACGTAAAACACCTCCCCCTCTTTGTGGAAAAGTATGTAATATCCAAAAGTTATTTCTAAGTTCACTAATGACACGTTTAATAACAGTGTGTCACTTAATGTATTGATTTTCTGTCACTCGGGACTTACTTATCGCTCGAGGACAATAAATATATTGTTATTCGAAAACCATGCAATGGCATACACATATCAACATATGGTTATCAAACATTGAACCAAAGATCACGAACCTATTAGTATTTTACGTAAAACAAGTTTCGGTTCTAAATTCAAGAAAATAACTCCGCCTTTATCTTAAAGTAAGAAAAAAAGCCTGAATGAGGGCAAAATATCAACAAAAGTAAGATGTACACGAAGGCACTTGGAGCACGGGAACAATAAACCAAATAAATACAAGAAGATGCAGCTTTCTTCAGTAAGATTGTACAAAAGTTGAATATTGCATTTCAATATCTTAGAATCATATAGAACTCGTTAGAGGTGATGAGACCTAGACTTTGAAACATGAGAGGCGACTGAAGAAAATGAGAATTGTGACCAATAAAAAATGTCAACATCTATATGAGTATGTACACTTGCCACATAATTCAATAAATTTCGCATTTTACATCAATTCTGACATTTTAAGAACAATGTTTTGTGTATATTCTGGCGCGTGCCACTATTCAAATAATTAAATCGTGGGATATATGTTAAACTTTGGTGACTGAAGGTGGACGGATCAAAACAGCAAAACAATTTTAATGGACAGTTGAGTGAGGTTATGATCGAAAGTAGAAGTTCTAGCGGAAATTTTAATGTCTACAAAGTATAATTTAACAAAGATTCCTTCGCTGTGAGTTATCTTCAGAGCAACAACACATACGTACAAATTAGAAAATGCCCAAAAATCTGCTAATCTCAAATAATTATGGGAGTTAAACCTGTTTCCTCAGAATTCACGAGGAGTGACAACCTTATTCCTCAGAAATGTATTCACGAGGAGTGACAACCTTATTCCTCAGAAATGTATTCACGAGGAGTGACAACCTGTTTCCTCAGAATTGTATTCACGAGGAGTGACAACCTTATTCCTCAGAAATGTATTCACGAGGAGTGACAACCTGTTTCCTCAGAAATGTATTCACGAGGAGTGACAACATTATTCCTCAGAAATGTATTCATTAGGAGTGACAACATTATTCCTCAGAAATGTATTCATTAGGAGTGACAACATTATTCCTCAGAAATGTATTCATTAGGAGTGACAACATTATTCCTCAGAAATGTATTCATTAGGAGTGACAACATTATTCCTCAGAAATGTATTCATTAGGAGTGACAACATTATTCCTCAGAAATGTATTCACGAGGAGTGACAACCTGTTTCCTCAGAAATGTATTCACGAGGAGTGACAACCTGTTTCCTCAGAAATGTATTCACGAGGAGTGACAACCTTATTTCTCAGAAATGTATTCATTAGGAGTGACAACCTTATTTCTCAGAAATGTATTCATTAGGAGTGACAACCTTATTTCTCAGAAATGTATTCACGAGGAGTGACAACCTTATTTCTCAGAAATGTATTCACGAGGAGTGACAACCTTATTCCTCGCGCGCGCGCGCGCGCGCGCGCGCGCGCGCGCGCGCGCGCGCGCGCGCGCGCGCGCGCGCGCGCGCGCGCGCGCGCGCGCGCGCGCGCGCGCGCGCGCGCGCGCGCGCGCGCGCGCGCGCGCGCGCGCGCGCGCGCGCGCGCGCGCGCGCGCGCGCGCGCGCGCGCGCGCGCGCGCGCGCGCGCGCGCGCGCGCGCGCGCGCGCGCGCGCGCGCGCGCGCGCGCGCGCGCGCGCGCGCGCGCGCGCGCGCGCGCGCGCGCGCGCGCGCGCGCGCGCGCGCGCGCGCGCGCGCGCGCGCGCGCGCGCGCGCGCGCGCGCGCGCGCGCGCGCGCGCGCGCGCGCGCGCGCGCGCGCGCGCGCGCGCGCGCGCGCGCGCGCGCGCGCGCGCGCGCGCGCGCGCGCGCGCGCGCGCGCGCGCGCGCGCGCGCGCGCGCGCGCGCGCGCGCGCGCGCGCGCGCGCGCGCGCGCGCGCGCGCGCGCGCGCGCGCGCGCGCGCGCGCGCGCGCGCGCGCGCGCGCGCGCGCGCGCGCGCGCGCGCGCGCGCGCGCGCGCGCGCGCGCGCGCGCGCGCGCGCGCGCGCGCGCGCGCGCGCGCGCGCGCGCGCGCGCGCGCGCGCGCGCGCGCGCGCGCGCGCGCGCGCGCGCGCGCGCGCGCGCGCGCGCGCGCGCGCGCGCGCGCGCGCGCGCGCGCGCGCGCGCGCGCGCGCGCGCGCGCGCGCGCGCGCGCGCGCGCGCGCGCGCGCGCGCGCGCGCGCGCGCGCGCGCGCGCGCGCGCGCGCGCGCGCGCGCGCGCGCGCGCGCGCGCGCGCGCGCGCGCGCGCGCGCGCGCGCGCGCGCGCGCGCGCGCGCGCGCGCGCGCGCGCGCGCGCGCGCGCGCGCGCGCGCGCGCGCGCGCGCGCGCGCGCGCGCGCGCGCGCGCGCGCGCGCGCGCGCGCGCGCGCGCGCGCGCGCGCGCGCGCGCGCGCGCGCGCGCGCGCGCGCGCGCGCGCGCGCGCGCGCGCGCGCGCGCGCGCGCGCGCGCGCGCGCGCGCGCGCGCGCGCGCGCGCGCGCGCGCGCGCGCGCGCGCGCGCGCGCGCGCGCGCGCGCGCGCGCGCGCGCGCGCGCGCGCGCGCGCGCGCGCGCGCGCGCGCGCGCGCGCGCGCGCGCGCGCGCGCGCGCGCGCGCGCGCGCGCGCGCGCGCGCGCGCGCGCGCGCGCGCGCGCGCGCGCGCGCGCGCGCGCGCGCGCGCGCGCGCGCGCGCGCGCGCGCGCGCGCGCGCGCGCGCGCGCGCGCGCGCGCGCGCGCGCGCGCGCGCGCGCGCGCGCGCGCGCGCGCGCGCGCGCGCGCGCGCGCGCGCGCGCGCGCGCGCGCGCGCGCGCGCGCGCGCGCGCGCGCGCGCGCGCGCGCGCGCGCGCGCGCGCGCGCGCGCGCGCGCGCGCGCGCGCGCGCGCGCGCGCGCGCGCGCGCGCGCGCGCGCGCGCGCGCGCGCGCGCGCGCGCGCGCGCGCGCGCGCGCGCGCGCGAGAAATGTATTCATGAGGAGTGACAACATTATTTCTCAGAAATGTATTCACGAGGAGTGACAACCTGTTTCCTCAGAAATGTATTCATGAGGAGTGACAACATTATTTCTCAGAAATGTATTCATGAGGAGTGACAACATTATTTCTCAGAAATGTATTCACGAGGAGTGACAACCTTATTTCTCAGAAATGTATTCACGAGGAGTGACAACCTTATTCCTCAGAAATGTATTCACGAGGAGTGACAACATTATTTCTCAGAAATGTATTCACGAGGAGTGACAACCTTATTCCTCAGAAATGTATTCACGAGGAGTGACAACATTATTTCTCAGAAATGTATTCATTAGGAGTGACAACCTTATTTCTCAGAAATGTATTCATTAGGAGTGACAACCTTATTTCTCAGAAATGTATTCATTAGGAGTGACAACATTATTTCTCAGAAATGTATTCATGAGGAGTGACAACCTTATTTCTCAGAAATGTGTTCATGAGGAGTGATAACCTTGTCCCTCAGAAATGTATTCATGAGGAGTGACATTATTTCTCAGAAATGTTTTCACGAGGAGTGATAACCTTATTCCTCAGAAATGTATCCACGAGGAGCGATAACCTTTTCCCTCAGAATCCTTTATCTTGTCGTTTAAATTGAACAAATATAATATAGGAAGCCAACTAACGATTGCCTTGATCGTGACTGTTGCATTTCCGATGATGAAAAATGTTATTGACTACAGCAATGATAATAACGGTTTAAATCCTGGAGGAGACAACGACATAAAATGATGACCTCCGTAATATCTGTAGTTTGCTTTACATTAAATCATTAGTTACTGTAACATTACTTATCATGTAAACAATTTTCACCGACGGATTAAGAAGATTTGCTCTACGCATGTACTGCAGAATTTGGAGGTCTGGTGATCGAAACTTTATAACTAAAACAAAAACCAGGATAGTGTTAAAATTTGAAAACAAGTATCTCCCGATTGTCAGATTTATAAACGGAGACGGATTAATATAAGTTGGAAAACTTTCCTAATCCAGTTCCAATTTTTGTTCTTGTATGGTCAAATGTTTATGTATTTAGAGAATGAAATAAAGTTCATATTAAACTTTGAAAAAGAATCAACGAGAAGATTGAAAGTCACGATCTGTCCATTTATAGCTTCGGCCCTATAAATATAGCATGGTAATAATAAAAAAAAAATAACACATATCGTTTGAATCAAAATACGAATATGCCGAACAAGCCATTCAGGTTTAATTGAACTTATTTCCAGACGTTTCCAAAATCGCCATGTCTAAATCCGCACTAGGACAACATCCCTCATCTGTAAACTATTAATATCGAATCACGTTCAGACATAACAATCGGCTATTGCGAAACAGAGTACTGTTTTGTAGACTATTACATGAGTTGATGATAAAATAGTCCGTTTCTACATGATTTTTCTTAAATGAGACAGAAACCCCCCCAAAACAAAGCGAAAATGAAAGCCAGTCCTTGTGACATCATCGACATTACCCACAATGCTGTAGGATGACATAGAAACAGGAAGTAGAATACGCACTAGTCATCGTCGAATATATCCACCTGACATCTATAACCAAGGATTGTGATACCTTTGTTCTTGTGTCATAAGATTTATTTATAACTTAAACTACCTTTATATTGAGCTTTATATATAGAATTTGCTCATAATTTTCGTGGAACATACCAAGTAAGACAACAGATTTCTCCGGTGCAGTTTGGTAAGTGGCCACAACAATCGGAGAAATAATTTTGTTTGGTTGCCGGTATTTTCCCATTCAAAAAATGACGTTGTCTTATTATTTTCACGTTATATCTTCATTTTATTGATTTGTGTGCGTTTATTTTTCTTAAGAATACCACCAATTTTGTTTGATTGGCGTTTTGTTTTGTTATTCAAATGAGCCTCGGTAATTTATTTCGGTCCGAGAGTATTCGATTCCCCCCGCCGCACGTGTTGACAGTCTCCCTTACGTCCGCCATATTTTTAGCCGCTTAGCTGCAACGTCTGCAGTTTTCCTGGTCAGTTATACAAGTTAGTGCTAGTGACATATACTTATGTATTGTACTCAGTGAATTTAATGAATCAGTCGAGGATTAAGACTCTTATCTTGTCGCAGTACACTTCACGTTAGAGATGAGTTCGACTTCCTTTGTGTCATTTCAGATGTCCAGTTGCACCGATTCTGAGGACCCCCCAGCCAAGAAACCGCGGTTAGAGTCGTGTGTAACAGCAAACGCATCGTCCAACTCAGTGGAGGTTATTTTAACTTTGTTTCTTTGTTTCTTTTGCTAACTTGATCCTCATTTTTAACAATTGCATTTTTATTTTGCCTTTCGAATTGAGGCTATATATGCCCCGTGACCCAGACAAATCCATCTCGTTACTTGCTCTATGTAAGCTTTCATTCTCTTCAGAGACTATTTTTATCGTGTTGACTAGCAAAACCTCGACTGTCACCACTGTGGTATGGTAAACAATATATATCATAATACTCAATTCTTGTTGTCATTATATATATATAATATATAGTTTTTTTTGGAGGGGAGGGGAGTGTTTTTCTTTTTTTTGCAGCATTGTAATATTGTTTCCCTCTCACCACCTCTCTCTCTCTCTCTCTCTCTCTCTCATGTGACAATGTTGTTAAAACTTGACAAAACCATGAGAGATGAGTATTGAATCAATAATTCAAATTCTAATAATTTAAATATGTTTTACTAATAAGTTTCCTGATTTTTTTTTAACAAACCAGGGTCAAGATTTGATCAGGTTAAGAAGTAAATAAAAGTATACAACACACATTGCAGGTTGTATTTTTAATTTTGATATTAAGTGAAGGGACAAAGTTTTTTGTTCTGGTGATGTAAATTTGTTTTGTCAGACGTTAACTCGCCCAGTGAATGTTCGTGCTCTGCTGGTGCCAACATTATTTTGTTAATGATGATTTTTTTTTAATGATATTTCATTACCAGCAATGAGGAGCAACTTGTTTTAGAGGCAACTGAGTATTTCTCAAAAAAATGTAAATACTTAACAGAGTTTTAGTGGATCTAGAACTAAAAGTAAATATGAAGTTTTATAAAAGGTCGAAGATCATTTAATTGTTAATCACTGTTGTTGGCCTGGATAAAAGCGTGAAAGCAGTTCAGCATTATGATATATCTTAATTAAAGAGTTTAATGCAAAATGACAATATTGGCGAAAATTTTCAAGATTGGCTATATCGCCACTGCCAAAAAATACACTCTTTTATTTCTTGGTAAAAAGATGTAAATTTCCAGAAAAAATGAGCACTAGGGCTGGTTCAAAAACCCAGCAATATATTCCTAATTTGAAACATCCATCTCTTGTGTTTCAAAACAAGTTTGACACAGTCAGTATTGCTAAACTGTCATAGTGAAAGATCAGGTTGTGACCAACTAAAACATGGGTGAAAGGGTCAAAACAAGGGGCATACGTATAATAGTCTTTTGCGTCATCTTCCATATTTGTTGTGTGCTAAAACATGGATTATAAAACATGTGAACTAATAAATAAACACTTCATACTAACAATTATATACAGTACTTTACCAATCACTTTTTATTATACCTCTTCTTCATAATTCTTGAAGCTTCAACGGGCAGCATTGGATATTTCTTGTAGGATTTTTTTTTTAATGTTTTGTGAATATTGTCCTGATTTAGCAATGACCTGCTATCATTACATGAGCTGTGATGGGGTGTAATAAAGACTTCCATAGACAAATCAATTCACTTGGTTTTCCAAAATATTTGTATATAAACTTTAACCTATATATCTTCATGTTGCCAGCTTAAGTTCCTTTTGGCAGCAAACATCAATGATGGGGAAATGTCTTCATCTTCAAAACAAATTGAACTTATAAATCACAGATAAAAGATTATCTTAGCTGAAAATACCCATCTTTTATGCAAGAAAAAGTCTGTGTCCCCCTCATAATGCCCTGTCTATAACCTTGTCTCACTCAATCAGGTGCTTGATCACAGCGTGTGTTGATTTACAGAAAAAAAGGTTCTTGTTGATCGAGACTAGTGATATTTAAGTGAATAGGATTAAATAGGGATAATATCTAGAGGTGTTCCAAAGCAAGGTGTTGTCATTGAAAATTTCATGTTATTTGATAGCCTGACGGGTCAAACAGGCAAGTTACTCGTGGCTATCTTAAGTATCGGGTCTACCGGTGGAATTGAGTGAGTTGGCAATACTGCACAGTATAATATGTCTTAAAAGAGATAAAGTAATATTTGCATTGACAGTCATTCAAGCATCTGTGTCATGTTCCATAGCAGGAAAACATTTTCATAATCAGGCCTCAGAAATATTCGGTTATTAGGATGTAGCAATGCAGTCCTACTAACTACCTACCAGATCACAAGTTTTTGGGTTACTTTTCAAAAGCCAGCATTGACAAAGCAAAATGTCTACTAGTATTATGTCAGGTGTTGTAATGACCAGAGGGACAAGTCATTTCATCACATAATATTTATTTGAAATCTTTCGTAAAATGATTATGTCATAGTGAGCACGAATTGTTTCTCATTGGTATTGATAAACAAATGCTGGAACAAATTTTTGTGTTAAGATCTTATTTTACAAAAAATACCACAAGGATATCAGATTTTGATGATATCACAATGCAGATTTTCTCAACATTAACATCTCTGAAGATGACATCATTAACACTGCACCACCCAGCCAACCTAGATAATACATCAATACAATGATGTGTATTTGAACCACAGAAACATTGAAAAATTTGTAACAAATATTAATTCAAAGTCAGGTTGTAATCATTTCAATTAACTTTTATCTGTCCCTCAATTATGTCAGCCATCGTTACTTCTCTTTCTTGAATATTGCTTATGTACATATCTTGTACATATCTTATTTAAATGCCTTGCAGATGCCATTTTGAATTTTGACATTTGATGTTTCATGACTGAAGGGCAGTGAAAACAATATGCTTGTTAGACATGTATGTATGGTTATCACAGGATCAAGTTCCTGTTAGAATGATGACTGTTGATACATACAATTGTTAATTAAGAGGAAAGAAAAGAGAATACTTACCTACAAAGATCTCTGGGGTCTTATCACAAAATGCTACATAAAGGTGTATAGATGGTACAAAATAGAATTTGCACAAATTCAAGAAAAATAAGGGAAAGATGAAAATAGTTAAACTACATAAAACCCAGTTTAAATATTACAGGCTATTCTGCTACTTTCAGGTATTGTGTATGGGTTCAAAGGTCTCAAAGACTCCAGCGGTAAATGTTGTTGTTACCTGTTTGTAAATCTTTGGTGTGACTCAGCTGTCTCCTCTTGTAGTATCACTCAGTGTGTTAAAGTTTGCAGGTTGAAGTAGATCTTCAAACAAAACAAAAAAAATTAAATTACTGGTTTTGATTTCAAAAGTGTGTTTGTATTTTTAACAATGCAGTAAAACACATGACATTGTTATTGTAGATCAGAGCATGTAGATTTTTAAATGGTAATATTTCAGAAGTATTCAGCATTATTAAGAATTTATTTCTTTAGATCGTCAACCTGATCCTTAACATTTCAGTTGCAGTGGACCTTTTTTGTTTGTGATTCTACTAATTCTATTAAAGCTGATTTGAAAGGGATTTATTTTCTTTATGTTGCATGAAGTAGACATCTTTAATCAAAGTTATTTAAACAAGTTATACAGCCAGTAAAAAAGATTACAAAGTACTGACATATGAAGTTTTTTAATTCAAATACAAATAAAAGAAGAATTTACACAGATATCTCTGAAAAGAGAAGAAAAATCAATTAAACAATATGACCAGGTGTTTCGAAATGATATAGGTCTTCTTCTTACTGTCTTATTCTAAAATGAGATCAAGGTTTTCAAACAACAATTAGCCAATCACAACCTTAGGATGACCATAGAATATACTACATATTCCGATATATATTTTTCATTAAATTCAATTTTATGTTCACGGAAGAAAGCAGGCCTTTACTAAATTGGTAAACCATCCATGTACTGGACACATACAGAAGATTTTGATGCCTTGGAGTTTGAAGTCCGGGAAACAAATCTAGATTTTCATTCACTTTGTTGATTATAATAGAATGATATTGCATTCAGATTATCTGTATTGCTGAACCTATTGAATATCGGTAAGGGTCGATGTATGAGGACAGACAAAACTCCTGATTATTCTTATGAATGGTCAACCTAGTTTTTCAACATTGTGATTTAAAAATTTGCTATAAGCCAATGTTCTTTAGTTTTCTTCTACAAAATATTTACCCATTCAATTTCTTGGCTGGGATGAAATGCTCTGCTGATAAATATTCTCCAACACAGCTCAAGTCCTGTGCATAAAACTCTATAGCGTTGACTTTATCAAAGTTACAGGAAATTCATTACTCATCTCAAAGTTACAGGAAATTCATTACTGCATCTCAAAGTTACAGGAAATTCATTACTGCATCTCCACTAGTGGTAGTAATCACTGGTTACATGGTTTGATATGGTCTGGAATCCATCTGAACTATATAGTTCAGCACTTCCATTGAATTAGTGGTGTTATTGGTTTGATGACTTTCTACTATAAGCTAGTACTTTTCAGTGATTTTACTTACATTTATATACACAGCACAGATCATGATTGACGAGACTTCCTCGTGGTGGACATCTTTTGTCCACATCTTTCCTAGCACTACTTAATGTATCCTGCCTTGGTTTAATTTCAAGCTTTCATGTTTTCTGAATACTAATTTATTGCTTTTATTGACAAGTTATTAAAACACTCTTTATTTCCACTTGGTCCTTTCTTGTGAAAGTTTCTTAAGGAGCATGTGCAGGGACCAGAACAATATGTATGATGATTAGCAATTGTCTGTAAATTTACAGTTGTTGATAAAGAGGTTACATAACAAGTAGTTGTGGAATATGGTATTTCTATCACTTCAGTTGTTTCCCAAAAGTTAAAAATTAAAAGCAAGTGTTTTTGGAAAATATCTTATATCGAGTGAAAAATACACCATATATACAACAGCCATGAATTTGTGTGACCTTTCTGTACTCACATGGTTTTTTTTCATCATCAGTTTAGGTGTAATGATATGACTGTTAGTGAAGTGCTGCTAATTAATATGCAAAACTTACATTTTAGAAATACATGGAAATATTGTAACTTATAACTAAAGATAGATTGGTTTGTTATCTTCAATGCAAAAAAAAAGCAGATAGAAATCCAGATACTATACAATTATTACAAAAAGATTAGTGAATTACTTACTGCACTTTCTAACTTCTGTCATGGTATGAAGCACCCTTTCAGTCAAGGTTCATCCTGTCAACCTATCAAAACTACCAAAGTGTTATACTACATGTTTTTGTTTTAACATGTATGCTTTTACAACAGTTGAAATTATTAATTGATGCGCCTTAAGAGTTGAATTACTCTCACCTATTATGGTAGAAAAAATGGTAGACAATATAAAGCTATGTTCAGAATGATTTGCTTTAATATACAAGGTTGTAGTTAGGGTGTACATACTGTATTTTAATAATTTCACAATGTATTGCTCAGTGAAATTCATTGAGTATTATTCAAACAATATTACTCTTCAGGTATTACCCACTTAGTTAAAAATGTTGATATTACACTTTTATTGGCCTTTGTGTATCTTTAGGCAGTCACATTTTCATGCTATTGTATATAGTTATACATTTCATGCTATGTAACATGTATGAAACAAATCCAGTGTAACATGTACTGTGTATATATAACTGTATGCTCACATGTAAGGAAACTGAAAGTACATTTATTTGTTTCACTGGAATGGGTTTTATCACTTAGTCATCGTAATCATATATGGGTCAATATAGGATAAAATGGCTGGCTTTAGAAAGGAAAGTACAGATAGGGATCTATGTGTGTATGGAATGTTCTAGATCTGTACTCCTAGTTGCCAGTTTCCTGGAATTAATGGGGTCAGAAAATCCTTATCAGGTAACATTTAGCCCTGCAGGTTGTTTCTTTTAACTTGTGTACAGCCCTGGGTTTCTTGGAACTATTTCAAAGGTCAGTGATGTGAATCAGCGAGGCATTTGATTTAATGTAAATAGTTACAAGGCTTTTTATGCCATTTTCAATGCTCTTCAGCATGTTGTTTACCTTATTTCCTCATTTTTTCAGTTTGATAATATATATATAAATAGGTGTAGCTGATTATAAAAAACATTGTAAGTCCCTTGAAATGGCATGTGTAAGGATTAAATATGACAAACAAATGACTGCTGTAAAAGCAAATTTCCTCACTTTGTAGTATCAGAAAGTTACTACATTGCACTTTTTAGAATCTTGATTTCATGAATGATTGTAATTATAGCTCTACTCGTACTAAAATTAACTCTTTATTGATCTATGAATTCAGGGATTAATAATACCCATGACAGCAACATAAGTAAAAACCCTGCAAAAATTGATGATTTCACAGCAGTTTGTGATGAGATGTGTACATGTACGTTAACAAGGATTTCCAACTGACTATAACCAGTACATTGTTAGAGAGGGACATATATGACCATCAGCTGATTAACTTTTACATTGTCATTGTGTGATTTACCTGGACATGTGTACATGAATGGCAACACAGATATATTTGTAATCCCCAACAAAAGTAAGTTAGGATGGTATGGCAAGAACAATATTTATACACGGTTCATTAATATTCCAAAAATATTGTTACTCCAGCAGAAATAGATCTGAATCTTTAATTAGCTACTTTGATATTTTCACGTTAGCTTTCTGTCAAGTGCACAGAATAATTACCACCAAGGGACAAAACAAAAATTATTTTAGAATATGCTTCGAATAACACTTACTCTGGACATCGTAGTCATTTTGTTTTAACCAACAGTGCTTAATTTTGGCTTTGTTTTCAGACTATGGCACAGAATGGGGCAGAAGAGAAAGCAGAAATTGATGAAAGTCTGTATTCCCGACAGTTGTAAGTATTTACTACTTTCGTTATTCTTTTATGGGGTCAAGTTAACTTCCTGGTAGCTTAAGCTGTTAAAATCATTCTTTTGTGGGGTTAAGTTAATTTCCTGGTAGCTAAAGCTGTAAATTCCATTCTTTTGTGGGGTCAAGTAAACTACCTGGTAGCTTAAGCTGCAAATTAAAAAAAAAAGAAAGAAAAGACTGGTGTTGCCATGATTATATGCTTTTGTATTGAAAGTGTTTAGCATGTCAAATTTAAAAATTAGTTCCACAGATTCATTAAGATCATGACTTTTTACTGTAAATAAAAAAGAAAAATACTGTTTTCCGGAAATTTATTATATTTAAATACATGTAGGTTGAAGTGACATATAATATTGTACATTTTATCTGCACAATGTGTTTGCTTTTTTAGTGCTCAAAACATCACAATTTGGCAACATAGAGTTTTAGTTAGAAGAACGGTTACTGATATATTGTTTTCACACATAATATTTAATGTTTTGAATGTTAAGTTTCCCCCATTGCATGTTCTATGTTTACTGTATGTCATGATCAGAACTAGAAGTTCTGTTTATATGGAAAGTCATTAAAGCACGGTTAAAGTTACTTAGATATAACAGATGACAATATCTAGGCTGCATCAAACAGTAAAGAAATACTATAAGATTTGGTGATTTCTACAGATATGTGCTGGGACACGATGCCATGCGAAGGATGGCTAACTCCAATGTCCTTATCTGTGGGATGAAAGGTCTGGGTATTGAAGCGGCTAAGAATGTTGTCCTTGGTGGAGTCAAATCAGTGGTCATTCAAGACACAGAGGATGTTTCCTGGATGGATTTCAGCTCACAAGTATGCCAACATTACAAAACTTTGTAATATCAAAATTAGTTATATACGATTGGAATGTTTGAATTTGATTCAAGTGTGGCTAATCATGACCAAATGCAATTTCTTAATTATCAGATTTATCAAAATATTATATTGTTGGAAAGATGATAACATATTAAAGAAATACAGGTGTTGGCAAGATTTTGTGGTGCTTCTAATGAAACGGTCACCAGTATCACAGTTACATAATGCAATACATAAATTTCATGTTTTACAGGTTGTCTCAACATTATTTTCAAATACTTTTACCTGACCAAACATTTATGCTATGCATGTAAATTGATCACAATTATTTGTGAATTTTGATATTTTAAAAACGTTTTAAAATTTTAAGGATGGTTGAAGTACCTATTTTGCAAGTTTATATATTTTTCTGACAGTTTTTCCTGCGTGAGGCTGATGTTGGAAAGAACCGAGCAGTTGTTTCCCTCCCTCGCCTTGCTGAGTTGAATACTTATGTTCCAGTTTCATCTCATACAGCAGAGTTAACAGAAGACTTCATTAAGAAATTTCAGGTAGGTGAAGGAGGATATTTTCCGCAAGTGATCATTAACCACTATGTCCAAGCAGATCAACTTGCTTTGGTAACTTTTAGTATGCATATTTAGTGAAAAAACATAATGTTTCAAGGTCTGTAATTTGTACTGAACGTCAAAATACTATGAATATGCTTATGTTTAACTGTCATCAACTGAGGGTCAAAGTCATTTTCTATTTACAATCTGTGTTTAGAAATTATCGTTTCTTCAGCATGATATTGTCTCGAGTGAATACCAGAAAAAAATTCTATTAATTTGTTTTACGGAAGAGCAATTCTTTCATTACACTTCATTCATGTTATTTTCCTTTGATTATGATGTTATGTCTGACTGTTATTGATGTTGCCTGAAAACTTTTTGGTATGATCTTGTTTTAGGTGGTTGTGTTGACCAACTCCGACATGGATGAGCAAGTTCGAGTTGGAGAAATGTGCCATGCCAATAATATTTGTTTTATTGCTGCAGAATCAAGGGGTTTGTTTGGGTAAGAACTGCGTATAACATTTTCAAAATTCCATTTTTGAAAAAATAAATACATATAAAAATAAAAGGACATTAGAACCCACCATCATCAGATGTTGGACTATTCAAATTGCCCTACTTCAGAGGTGGGTTGGCTATCTGTTGGTAAACATTTCTTGTTTCTACTATTTCTTGAAGTACTGGATGAATCTGTCTCAAATTTCATATGTTGTGTCCTTTGGACCCTGGTTGTGGGACTAATCAAAAAATAAAATGGCATACAGCAGATATCCTGGATTTTGAGTTTGAAAGTTTTGTTATTGCTGCAAAACATATAAAAGTCAAGCAACAGTTGGCGCCAAGATCCCTCTGAGACCTCGTTTTTGTAGGTGTCAAAGTTTTTTAGTTTGGGGGGAAAAAAAGAAAAGTTCAAATATAAATTGCTTCGCAAGGGTCACATAAAGGGAATGCTTAAGTTTAATTTATTTCACTTGCGTGAATGCCTAAGTTCATTGGAACCACATTCAAACAATTCTAACAGTAGTTAACAACAGTTTGTTTTTCAGGAATTCATTTTGATTTGTTTTAATGTAATTTTTAATTGTGTCATTAATGTTGCTGTTAACAGGAAAATTTTCTGTGATTTTGGAGAGAAATTTACAGTTAATGACACTGATGGAGAACAGCCAATCAGCAACATGGTGGCTTCCATTACCACAGACACTGATGGTGTCGTTACCTGTCTTGATGAAGCTAGACATGGATACTCCGATGGTGACTATGTGACCTTCTCTGAGATCAAAGGGATGACACAGCTGAACGGCTGCACACCACGAAAAATCAAAGTTCTAGGTATGGAAATTTTATAAAACGTAATTTGCTATATGTTCACATTTTTGATACTCGTATTTCAGTTTGTAATGTTTTTGTGTGGTCTTACATTTTGAAAAGGTAAAAACATTTCTTCGTTCATGGAATCGCACTAGGTTATTGGTGGTAATTCATCAGCATGATCATGTATTTAGATATACAAAATTATATAAAGTGGTGTCTCTATGTCAGTTCTGTACATAGGAAAAGTACTGTAGTTGGAGAGAGTAAGTCGAAATCTTGCAAATTTTCAGATGGATAAAATATATTTTTAAAATTATTGATGCAAGATATATGAAAAATTAATAATTTGAGAAATTTGTCGTAAGTTCATGCTATTTGAATAAATATCTACTTGATCCCACCACTTGTATGTGTGGTTCAGTTTCATGCCTTTTGTTTCTAAGCCAATGATCAGTTAAATTCTATGGGTGGTACATCTAAACAAGTCTGAATCTTATAGATAATTTACTCGAAAATTCATTATCATTTTAGCCTGTCTGACTTGATTCATAAGTCTAATGAAATGGAAATTAACTCTCTTTGAGTTGTTAGAAGTCAATAGAATGCATATTAATGAATATGAATTTGATTTGTTTGTGCATTATAGGACCCTTCACATTCAGTATTGGAGATACATCAGGATTTTCCAACTACAGCCGAGGAGGAGTGGTCACACAAGTGAAGATGCCACAAACAGTTACATTTGTAAGTGTAAAACATTCAATTTCCATGCATAATGTGGATAATTAAAAGGGACCTTTATTGGAGGCAAGGGTGCCCTATAGTAATTTTTATGTTAGTTTGTCCACAAATTAAGTTTCTGGCTAATAACTTTAATATTTCTTGACCAATTTGATGAGCATTTTATGACATTATGAAGCCAAGTTGGTCAGAATTTAGAAAACTCAGCTGCCTTAATGTTAGGTCACTGGGTTAAATAAAGGTTAAGATCAAATTTTGTAGTTTGTTGCCAATCAACATGTTGTTATAGCATTGTGAGGCAAAGTTTGTCAGAGTCAAACAAAAAACCAACTGACCAAAGAAAAAAGGTCACTAAGCTTGACCTTTGGGTCCAAAGATCAAGGACAATTAAAACCATTATTTAACAAGAAGTTGACTGACCAGTTGTTTTTAGTCATCTGGTTATTGGTGAAAATGAGATGTGTATGTTTCTCTGACCTGTGACATTTGTGAAGGAGGGGGTATTTACATTGTGACTGTCCTGATGACTGGAGTACATTCAAACATTAGCTCCAGAGCATTTTTCCTTAGAACCAGGGTTTGAGATTCACTGATGTTGGGGATGATGTCCACCAATGAAGATTGTTCTCTCTCAGTAGGCTTATGTCTAACATATTATAACTTTTTGTTCCCTTTGGTTTTTTGTAATAGATGCCCTTCAGGGCTATGTTGACTTTGTTGATTATGTAAAATAAAGTTCATATTTTATTTTATTAGCCCACCATCATCAGATGGTGGGGTATTCAAATCGCCCTGCGTCCGTGGTCCGTCCGTAAACAATTCTTGTTACCGCTATTTCTTGGAAAGTATGGGATGAATCTTTCTCAAATTTCATATGCAGGTTCCCCTTGGTCCCTAGTTGTGCATTGTACCTTTTTTGGACTGATTCAAATTCAAGATGGCTGACAGGCAGCCATCTTGGAGTTTGAAAGTAAAATTTTGTTACCGCTATTTCTGGGAAAGTACTGGATGGATCTGTCTCAAATTTCATATGCAGGTTCCCCTTGGTCCCTTTGGACTTATCTGAAGTCAAGATGGCTGACAGGCAGCCATCTTGGAGTTTGAAAGTAAAATTTTGTTACCGCTATTTCTGGGAAAGTACTGGATGGATCTGTCTCAAATTTCATATGCAGGTTCCCCTTGGTCCCTAGTTGTGCATTGTACCTTTTTTGGACTGATTCAAATTCAAGATGGCTGACAGGCAGCCATCTTGGAGTTTGAAAGTAAAATTTTGTTACCGCTATTTCTGGGAAAGTACTGGATGGATCTGTCTCAAATTTCATATGCAGGTTCCCCTTGGTCCCTAGTTGTGCATTGTACTTTTTTTGGACTGATTTGAAATCAAGTTGGCCCACAGGCAGCCATCTTGGATGTCGACAGTAATACAGCACAAGCATATTTTCTTTGATATTCTATCATATTGATTCAAGACCATGTCCATTATCCACCTGTAACTGACTGCTGTCTAATAATACTTTGGGATCTTTTTCAAATGATATTTGCTAATAGGTGCTTAATAAAAATATCCTGTGTCATCATTGAGTACATTCAATGAAGACCAGTTCATGAACATTTACAAAACCTGTAACACAAAAAAAAAATAAACAAATCTTCAAGAACTGAAAACAGATCCTCAAATGGTGGGCGCCAAGATCCCTCTGGTTTTTTTTCCCTCACTCAAACTGAAATGCAAATAGTCCATCTTACATTCGTTATCAGTTATAAGTTAATGCTGCAGGCATTTTTTATGGCATCTAATACTGTTTTACATGCAGAAATCTATTTCTGAATCAATGAAAGCTCCAGAGTGTGTGATCACTGATTTCGGAAAATTTGACCGTCCAGCCCAATTACACATAGCATTTCAAGCACTGACCGAGTTCAGTAAGGCAAAGGGACATCTTCCTAAGAGCAGATGCAAGGTATGTATACCAATTACTAACTTTACATGAAGAGTGCCTTTGAAGATTTTTAAAATTGTAAGAAGACAAATGTGGTATTTCTTAAGTTAATGAAATAAAGGGACAGATTTTTAAAGCCCTCTTTAGACAATGATGTTTTTATCAGTTTTCAATCAGACTGGTTGAGTGTCATAGTTTGCTTTAAAAATATTCTCACTTGCAAATACTTTCTTTGCTTTAGTGAAATAAAGACTGATACTGAACCATTGACAAAATACTCCGAAACTAAATCATACTTAAATCTTAGGCTGATGCCGACGAGTTCATTGCCATGGTGAAAGACGTCAACAGCAGATCAGAGGCAAAGGTGGATGAGTTTGATGATGATGTCTTGCGAGAGCTAGCCTACACTGCCCGAGGTGACATCTGTCCTGTGGCAGCCATTATTGGAGGAATGACAGCCCAGGAAGTGATGAAGGCCTGCTCCGGCAAATTTAACCCAATATTCCAATACGTGTACTTTGATGCATTGGAATGCCTCCCAGCTGACAAGGAGACCGTCCTCACTGAGGAGTCATGTGCCCCTGTGAGTTACATCATATTTAATGCTATCAAATCATAACTATTGATTAAGCTTACATATAATTTGGTATATGAAGAAACTTTGCAGTAATTTGACTTTTACCTGTTTTTCCCTTTAACCAATGGGACAAAAAGAAAAAAACACTCCTATAGAATGTTTTCTTACACACATTAAAATATTGGACAGAGAGGAGAATTGTGAGAATACACTAAATTTGTAACTGAAATATAATTGTTTCAACTGATTGTTTAGTATTGTAGAAACATATAACTTGTATGCTTTAGAATATTATTCATGATTGAATGATGTGAGAGAAGAAGTAGCTTTTCTGGATCTTAAGCAAGTGTTGATTTTGTCTTACAGTCAAACTGCCGATATGATGGACAGATTGCAGTGTTTGGGAAAGATTTCCAGAAGAAAATGGGCTCATTAAATTACTTCTTGGTAAATTGATTTTTTTTGTAATCAACAAATGGAATATAACCTGTTGTACTGAATATTAATGTCTGTTTTACCAAAAGGTCATGCTTGATATTTTCTAGAATTATATTCTATTTTAATGTACAAAGTTACAGTTTGAAAAAAAAAATTTTTAATGGACTCTAAATCTTATAGGTTGGAGCTGGAGCCATCGGCTGTGAAATGCTGAAAAACTGGGCACTTATGGGCCTCGGAGCAGGAGAGGGTGGACAGGTGACAGTCACAGACATGGACATCATTGAGAAGTCTAACCTTAATAGGCAATTCTTGTTCCGACCCTGGGACATAGAAAAGCATAAGTCATCAACTGCTGCCGAAGCTGCTAAGGTGATGAACCCTAACTTCAACATTTCATCACATGAGAATCGTGTGGGAGCCGACACAGAAAACATCTACACTGATGATTTCTTTGAGAAACTGGATGGTGTTGCTAATGCCCTGGATAATGTTGATGCTAGTAAGTATTGTTATGTTAAAAAGAAGTTTAAAAGGAACTTTTGTTGGGTTCCTTCCATCCAAAAAGTTTGATCCATTCAAATTGATGAAGAAAACAGGTCTTTGAAATTACAAATTACTGAATTACTGGAATATCTACTTCAAAAAAGTCCTAAGTTATTATAGTGACTTCATACTACCCTTGGTATTCAGGTAATAGTCTATTATACTGATCTTCTTCAGGAATGTACATGGACAGACGATGCGTGTATTATCGTAAACCATTATTGGAGTCCGGCACTCTAGGAACCAAGGGAAATGTACAAGTAAGTGACAAATAAAACCAGTAAATGACATCAAACACTTTGATATTAGGCACCTTGATTAACACAAGCATATTTTATCATTCCTGTTTTGTTACTTAAGAAGATTAATTTCTGTGTTTCATCATTATTCTTTGAAAGTTTAAATTGTAAGAAATACATGCACTTGTAGTATGATTAAATTGATCAGAATTAATTATTGGAGGTTGACGTCATTGTATAAATGGTTTAACAATGGATAGTGGAATTGTTTTAATCCTGTGAAATACTTGTAAATATAACAGAATAATTCTTTCAATAACGATCAGAATGATGAAATTTTTGCTTCTGATTTCTTCCTCTACAGTATTTCATGCAACATTCATTATGTATTGTTCATACGGTATGCTGTTTGTTGTAGGTTGTAATTCCTCATGTGACAGAATCCTACTCATCATCACAAGATCCCCCAGAGAAGTCCATACCGACATGCACCCTCAAGAACTTTCCTAACGCAATAGAACACACATTACAGGCAAGTCAGGGTTTGGACAGAAATTTATATATCCAATATATAATAGTAATGATAAACTTCACATGTTCGAAGTGTATTCATTTACCAAAACAATGAAACACTCTTATCATTAGCTGGATTATGCCAGTTGGTTTATACTGACAACATAATGGTAGACTTGAATTCTATTTTCAATTTCTGTGATTTCTTTGATGAGGAGAAAAACAGAACAAAACCATTAAAAACTATTGTATATAAAAAGTTGAGTACAGTTTATTGTCAAAATGAAACCAATATATGCATAACTTGTGCATGCAATGAAAAAACCAGGTTACGATTAAATAATAAATTGCACACAAGTGACATGGTTAGCACATGAACAGTCCTACAATTTCAATTGAGAACACAAGATTTTGAAATCAAATTTTTGATAGCCGTATGTGTTTGTGATTTGCTCAAGCAGTTGAGCATTGGGCTACATATTCTCTGGTTTAGGTGGGAGATGTGTACTTCAATGATACCCTTGGTGATCTGTTTCACGAGAACTGGTCTGTACTGTAATTGTTATGTACTTGGATGAAATAGTTAACTCCCACTGGGAAATCCCTCCTCAAAATGACCCTTGATGTTTACGGGGTGGTAAACCCAGCTAACAATTAAATATTTTTTATTTTGATTTAGTATTAATAAGTTCATTATTGACCTTCAGTGGGCACGAGACCAGTTTGAAGGAGTGTTTAGTCAGCCTGCAGAGGTAGCCCTGCAGTACATCAATGATCCCAAGTTCATGGAAAGGACGTTGAAGTTACAAGGCACACATTGTGTAAGTAAGAATACCAGATCATGACCAGGCTAAGATTTTATTGCTATCTGAATCTTTAGAGTAATCCCCTGTCCGGAAGCTAGAAAGTAGGATGTTCAGTTAAATTATGATAAAAGTTCAAAATATACATTTTTAAGTCCATTTAAGTTAAGAATATATATCTTATTTACATGAGGGCAATAGTATGACGACTGAGAGCTCATTCACTAGCATGGTTTGTTTCAGTTATGAAAAGTTTTCTTATGCAACTAACAAATGAGTCTTACACATGAAGCCAGACAACATGATAGAATAAGGCATTAAGTATTCACTGAAAACAGCAGTAATCAACCTAATGCAACTAAATTGGACTGGTTTAGAATTTACCAATAACACAGAAACAAATCTTATTGACTCTATACCTTTAACATTTCACAATTTTTTTTTTACCACATAAATATTTCAAATCCTGTAAATGCTACCTAATAAATAAGAGATTATGCATTCTTTAATGTAAGGGAGACAATTATTTTTGGTCTGCAAGAAATAGTTTCAGGATTTTAGGTTCCAAAGACAGAATTTATTTCATTGATTTATATTACTGTCTTTGAATGTTCTAATATTTGTATTCATTAATACAAATAGTTAGTTTGATATGGGGTTACCTTTTGTCCGACATTTCAAACTACTTTGAGTATTGTAGAAACATTATTTACAGTTCTCATTCATGACTATTCTTACAGGTTGATACAATGGAGTCTGTGTACAAAGCTCTCATTAAAGAACGACCAAGCAATTTTGAGGATTGTGTGTCATTTGCACGCAACTTTTTCCAGTTGAACTACCACAATAACATCAGTCAGCTGTTATTCAACTTCCCACCAGATCAGGTGAGAATATATTTGTCTATGTGTTGTCTTTATTCTGTATTTTATATCAAAATTTCCAACCCATGAGATGAAATAGAACTGTTATTCATCAGGAAACAGATAACATTTTGTGTATTTAATTCTTTCTTACATTTTAACGATGCTGAATTTGTCATTTATCATTACTTTTCTAATTAATATGTATATGTACTGTAGTTTCCCATCTAAAACTTCACTCTTTAAGTAAGTAGGTAAATACAATATATTTGAAGCTCTGATAATTAAATTCAGATTTGTCAGGACTGCTTTGTAAAGTAAAGTAAGAGCTTTCACATAGTTTACCACAGTTATAGTCCCTTAAAGGTATCACAATACACTTGAGGAAAAATTCATATTTTTCTACAAAATAGTGGAGGGGGGGGAATCTTGTCATTTTCACCATTAAACCTCATTTTTCATTGTACAAAATGAAATGAATATTGTGATTGATAAATGACATTCATATTTAATTACCAAGTAATATCATATCTGAGGCCTTATGTGGAACAAACAGTTGAAACATTTCATTTGATGTTTAGATGTGTAAGATCGATAGATGCCCTGTATGTCTTAGTTATTTTTAAAAAAGAGAAAAAAGCATCCAATTCTAGTTGATCAAACTTTTTATTTACAGAAATGTATTGAAAGATATATTGAACAATTCTTCCTTGTAGGTAACCAGTTCTGGAGCACCTTTTTGGTCAGGACCTAAGAGATGCCCTCATCCTTTGAGTTTCGATGCAAACAATGTAAGTGTTTATCAGTATATTGAGAACAGTTAATATGAATGTTATCTATTTAAACATTGTATATTCCAGTGATGATCAGAAATTTTTTTTTCAATTATACGCACACACAACTAACTCAACCTTTATTAGAAAATCCTAGAGAGGTAAGGGGGAAAACATACAAAACTTAGTGGAGATGAGAAGGAAATATAAGATATATAAGTATACAGATATAAGATTCACCTTAATTATATCTCCTAGTGGAGATGGATGAAAACATTAAGTTATACAGTGGAACCTACTTAATGTCACATCTGTTAATGTCACTTTCTGGTCAATACCATGTTTTCTTGAAATACTGATTTTTTTCTATATATTCTATGTAATCCAACATCTTATAATGTCACTTATTTTCATGTGGGCAATGCTTAATGTTACTTCATTTTGCTGACTCTCACAAAAAAAATACAGGTAAGTCACGATTAAGTGAGGACAGGAACTAGGTATTCATGCCTGAAGGATCATACATCAAGCCTGAACAAGCTATGTAAACAATGTCGGTGACAATCACTGCCCTACTAGCCAACTTTTCACACCTTGCAACTCCTACACAATAAAATTGACTCCCCTTACCTGTACGGTCCAGCATGGTCGAAGGAAGTCTAGTGCCTTCAAATCATTTTTTGCTAAAATTATCGCAAGCATCTGATTGGCCATTAAAAGTAGCCACTAATTAAACAGCCAATAAAACATGGCATTGCAAAGATGAACAGTTCACACTCTTTTGGCTGTTTTTGGTGGCAAGGATCAAGTAGTGTTCTTCAGAAGCCATTTTATTAAAGTTGCAGAGATACTGTGTATCAAATTTGTGATGATGCACCATTATGGAGCCTGTACAGTAATGGATAAAGGACTTATACAGCAAAACATTAGCTGATGGCATGGTAGTGTCACCTACAATCTGACCATGTGTAAACTGATTATGACATGAATTATGTAGTGATCGTTCACGATAAGTTATGATAGCAGTTTAGATATTTCAAAGAATATACAAATGTTCAGGAATATCAGTGTTCTTGTGGGAAAAACAAATCAAATCAAATTACAAATTTCTTGTCTTCTAAAAATATCTGTTATAAATAAGTCAGTTAGGTGCATCTGAAAATTAACTTCCATGTTTAGATGACCACAAAAATGTGTCAACTGTTAATGTCACATTAAAAATAATTACATTTCCCTTGACAAAAGGAACATGACATTAAATGGGTTTTACTGTACAGATATAAAACTTTCAATATCTCGCAGTGGCTGTGGAGTTAAGAAAAAGGAGAAATGATATCATATCCTCATTACATCTCATGGTACACACATATAAAGCCTGACCACAGCAGCATCACTACAACAAGTCATTGATTTAATTAGTCCAGTTTTTAGGGAGAATGACAAGATAGTAAGAGAATGTTAAAATGATCAGATGTGTTTTGATTTAACAGGAAGTACACATGGACTATGTGTGTGCGGCAGCCAATCTGCGAGCAGCGATGTATGGCATGGAGCAAGTAAAAGACCGGAATGCAATTAAAGAAATGGCTTCCAAAGTTGAAGTTCCTGAATTCAAACCACGATCGGGAGTGAAGATTGAAACAACTGAAGCTGAGGTTGAGGCTAGCCGAAGTGGTGCAGGAAACTCTGGTAAGAGAAGATGGTTTGACAAAGTAGTTGTGGGCTTTTGGGCAAGTGACTCTATTCTTATGAATCCCTGGACCCAGTAAATAATGGCAATATGGATTGATACAACTGACTGCAATAGCTGTTTACACATCAGGCTTATTTTGTAATGACAACATAGAAGTCTTAACACGTTTAGAAAATGAATTTCATCAGGAACTCTCATTAAACTGTTTTCATTTATGTAGATTCTGTTTTTTCTGTCAATCATTCCGGTATTACTTTGGAATTTTGTAGTTTGATGCTCCCTGCAGGGAGATCATATAGTCCATTTGTTAACCTGTCATAATTTTGTCTGGCGTCTATCACAAAAACTATTAGAGGTATCAACTTGAAACTTCCTAGGTAGATAGATCTCAATAAGGAGAACTACAGTGTATTAGAACCACAACTTTTGCATAGTTAAGGAGTTGCTGAAACTTGGTATATACATAGGTCCTATGGAGAAAGGAGTTGCTGAAACTTGGTATATACATAGGTCCTATGGAGAAAGGAGTTGCTGAAACTTGGTATATACATAGGTCATATGGAGAAAGGAGTTGCTGAAACTTGGTATATACATAGGTCCTATGGAGAAAGGAGTTGCTGAAACTTGGTATATACATAGGTCCTATGGAGAAAGGAGTTGCTGAAACTTGGTATATACATAGGTCCTATGGAGAAAGGAGTTGCTGAAACTTGGTATATACATAGGTCATATGGAGAAAGGAGTTGCTGAAACTTGGTATATACATAGGTCCTATGGAGAAAGGAGTTGCTGAAACTTGGTATATACATAGGTCCTATGGAGAAAGGAGTTGCTGAAACTTGGTATATATACATAGGTGAAACTTGGTATATACTATGGAGAAAGGAGTTGCTGAAACTTGGTATATACATAGGTCATATGGAGAAAGGAGTTGCTGAAACTTGGTATATACATAGGTCATATGGAGAAAGGAGTTGCTGAAACTTGGTATATACATAGGTCTTATGGAGAAAGGAGTTGCTGAAACTTGGTATATACATAGGTCATATGGAGAAAGGAGTTGCTGAAACTTGGTATATACATAGGTCATATGGAGAAAGGAGTTATTGAAACTTGGTATATACATAGGTCCTATGGAGAAAGGAGTTATTGAAACTTGGTATATACATAGGTCATATGGAGAAAGGAGTTATTGAAACTTGGTATATACATAGGTCCTATGAAGAGAACGTTCAGTATACCAAATTTAGAGTCTGCAAATTCCTAATTACAGAATCATTGCCTTTTGATTGAAAGTTTTCAGGCACATTCATCAGTTTCACTGATATTCTTGTTTAACGCTAGCCATTTTGTGTACCAGTATTTAAAGTCAGAGTGGAGATGGATAGAACCACAGTTCTGCAGAATTTTTGTATGCCATTATGATTCAGTGCATGGAAATTTGATGTTCTATTTGTGAAATTTAGCGAATTTCTACCAAAATAGTAGGAATTGTATATGAAATGAAAAGGAGAGCACTGTCAAACAGGATGGGTAGGGTACCTCCATTTACTTCATCATAAAAAAATACATCTCGTATGTCCAGGAAGCATGATACTGTGTTCAGGGTTTAGAATTATTTTCATGGTATATCAGAGTAAAAAACCTGTTATGACAAATGTAATAGATTGAGTTTTCTTTGTAGATCTAGACCAGCTGGATTACTTCCAGAAGGAGCTTGGTTCTCCAGATCAGTGGAAGGATGTTACACTTAGACCCGTAGAGTTTGAAAAGGATGATGATACAAATTTCCACATGGACTTCATTGTAGCCTGTTCTAACTTGAGAGCTGAGAACTATGGAATCACACCAGCAGACAGACACAAGGTTAGCAGATGCTATTGGGTGCCTGTTATCAGCTTATATATTACAGTGTGTTGCTCACAAGTCTCAAATGAGGGGAAAGTTACAACATAGGAAATTTACAAACTTGTATCGATAGGCTGAGCATAAGAGTTTTGTCACATTCTTCCCAGGGTGATCCCACGGGAGATAGGGATGGGATAACCATCTCATATGGAAAAGAGGAAAATAGCTGTTCAATTCATCATTTTATGTAGCTTAACTATGTCACAAATTGATAACCTTGGACATTTCCATGGGACATTGATGATGGCGTGATGAACATGTTCACTACAACTTGCAATTTATTGCTGTTATTTAAGCCCACCATCATCAGATATGGTCTCTTCAAATCATCCGATGTCCATCATTCATCTGCCGTTTGTCTATCTTGAAACAAAGCTTGTTATCTCTACTTCTTGAGGTGATTGATGAATCTTTCTTAGATTTCATTAATAGCTGCCCTTGAACCCTAGTTGAAAAACAAAATGACTTCCATATGGCAACCTGGTATTTTGGCAAAGAAAGTTCATTATTGCTATTTCTTGAGAGGTACTGGATGAATCTTTCTCAAATTTCATATATAGATTTCCCTTGGTCCCTAGTTGTGCCCTTGTTATTCTTGGAATTTATCAGAAAAAAAAAGACCAAAAGACGACCATCTTGGATTTTGCCATTTAAGATTATTACCACTATTTCTTCAGATGAGTATTCAAATTTCATTTAATAAAGAGCAAAAATTGGGGAGAAGAGAAAAATAGGGAAAAGACCAAACTTTAAAAGAACAGGTAAAGATCAAACAATTGCTGGTGTCAAGGTCCCTCTTGGATCTCTTTATGTATGTGAGAGATAGATTTATTAGCCAAGGGTCTGCTCCAAGTAACGGGATACATCAACCTAATGTGCAAGCGTTTATCTGGTCAGCACAAGACATACAACCCAAGTGTAAAAATTTGGCCAGTCAGCATGAGGCCTGCCAATTTTTGCAACCATCCCTGTCCACAGCAAAGACCCATGTAAGATTCTGTTATTCTGAACACAAAGATTTTCCTTGTGCTGGCAGTTATAATTTTAAAAGGAAGTAAAAATGTAGTGGAACTCTGTTTAATCTTTGATTAATGTTGAATATCTTTGATCTTTCAGAGTAAACTGATCGCAGGAAAGATCATTCCAGCAATCGCTACAACCACAGCTCTTGTGGTTGGCCTGGTTGGCATCGAACTTATCAAGGTAGGCCAACAATAATGTTTTCCTTAATTGTCCAACATGACTATTATACTGCATTTTATATATTTGAACTTTTTACCTGAAAGTTTGATCAATCTTATTTTACAAATACTGAAGTGTAAAATCTCAAACTCAGTGACAATTCATTTGTTTATTTTATTGTTAAATAAAAGAAGAGGGTAACACAATGCTGTTTTGTTCAGGAACTTTAAAAGATAAAAAACATTCTTGTGTTCTTTGAAAGATTGACAGCTCATATTAATCTTTGCAATTTCAGCTTGCCCAAGGTCACAAAAAAGTAGAATTGTACAAGAATGGATTTGTGAATTTGGCACTGCCATTCTTTGCATTCTCAGAACCAATTTTGGCTCCTTCAAACAAGGTGAGGGGATAATACTACATGTTGTTCAAGCATTAAAATTTGTTGATATATAAATGGCATTTTTACATCCGACTCTGTTCTAGCGTTCAGCTGTTTAAAAAGGATCTAGGATTGCTAAGGTAGCTAATGCATCAAAAATCGGTTACCTGTGTTTCTATGACAATACACAGGTATTATATTATTTGCTCATAAGGCATCAATTAATCATTACTGAAAAAGCACTTTAATTGGCTGACACACTGAACTTTTGTGCGCTCACAGAATTTAAAGTGAACAATAAGTAGTTGTTTTGTATAATGATTTATATTTTTACGTGGATTCATATGATTAAATGGCTTTGAAAATGGTTAACATTAGAAATGCTACAAACACTCGTTCAGTTTGCAAAAAGGATTTTCTTTCATCCCAGCATGAAACTAAACAATATTCCTGTCAAAGCTAAGTAATTATTTGTGATAAATTATAATATTTCAATGTATTTCTAAAATTGTCAGTTTTGTATTCTCTTTAGTGGCACTTTATTCACTACAAGTCTTAACATTACACCCTGATACTTTTAACAAGACACACCTGGATACAAAACAGGTGAATTCACCATTAGAATAGCTCTTTTGTTGTAGTAGAAACAGGTTACACAATTTGTGATAATTGTATATGGTTTTTCATTTTTCATTCTCTTAATTTGGTTTTTTTTTTCTTTTTTTTTTTTTTTGTAACTTTTGAACATAAATCATGTGAATTAATTTCTTTTTTTTTTTTTTTTGTAACTTTTGAATATAAATCATGTGGATTACTCCTATATACCACAATCATATATTGTGTAGCCTCTGTATATACATAACATAAATTTTCAAACTTGTTATCAATACTTTAAGTGATCACCTGTGGTATGTATATTTTATTTATAACCAAAATCTAACAAAATTACTCAAATTTGATTGACAATTTCAGTACTATGACAAAGAGTTCACTTTGTGGGATCGATTTGAGATTCAAGGAGAGATGACACTTCAAGAATTTCTGGACTATTTTAAGGCAAGTTTACATGCTGTCTTTTATTGGAGATATAAAACAATATCATTAAGAATTTCTGTTGGAGTACTGAGTAATCTAGTGTCTATGTTTTACAGAATTTTGCACTGAATTTAATGAACAATTCATGCTTCTTTGTGAAATGAGCATAAGAATATGCTATTGGAAGATATGAAACATTTATTGTCTCAATTAGATAAACAAGTGATGTTTTGATGTAGTTCATAAATCAGAACAAATATATTGCTAATGGTACAGGAACAATTTCCTGAGAATTAAAAAGTGATTTTTGTAGTTCACTCTTGAAGAGAAAAGTGAACTGAAGTTATTTTATAGTGTAATATTAAGTTGATTTTGTTGAATGATTTGACATCAAGTTTTCATTTTAGATTGACTTAGATCTAAAGGTTTATTTTACAGCATATTTCAAAATCGATTTTGTAGAAGACTTATATCTCAAACTTGATTTTTTAGAATGAATTGAAGCTAGAGATCACAATGCTGTCACAAGGCGTGTCCATGCTGTACTCCTTCTTCATGTCCGCACCAAAACGAGAAGAACGCTTGAAAATGCCGTAAGTCTTGTAATCCCTATTTAAGATGCAAATGAAGTGGGGTTTTTTTATGTTTTATGTCTTTTAATTTTCATCATTATACTTTAATGAACAATAACTTACTGAAATAGTTACTGTATAATCATTCAGTTTTGAGGAAAATTACTTTTCAATAATTTCATGGGTAGTCTTAATCCATGAAATTGTATGTCCATGAACTGTAAAAATTAGTTTGAGCTATGTTAATCTATAAAAAGAAACTTCTAAGAAAGAGTATTGCTTCAAAAACCACACAATTTGAGTCCAATAAAAATAGATATGTAATAGAAATCATCAGAAAATAGCACATAAAGCTGATTCTTACTGAGTCAACTTGAAAATTAAACAGATGTAGATATTTAGTATCAATGATGATGAAATATTCATAATATAGGTATATATAACCTTGTAATCAGAGCCTTCAGTGAAACATGTAGTGAAATCAATACCCAGACAAATGGAAAGTATTGATTGTGGAAGGACCATATTTTGATTGATCCATTTGGACATCTCAGCAAGCAGCAATAGAAATGAGCGAATTTCTTTATGGTTAGAAGGAAATTCTAAGTAATGGGGAAGAGTTTGTTAAAAATACAAAGTATTGCTGATTGGTTTGTAAGTTTTTGATGTTTTCTGTTGTAGACTGTCAGAGGTGGTGAAACAGGTTTCAAAGAAGAAGATTCCTCCTTATGTAAAGGCATTAGTGTTAGAACTATGTTGTAATGACGAGAAAGATGAGGATGTGGAAGTACCATATGTCCAATATATACTTCCATAAGTCTTGTGCTCAGTTGTGATTACATGACATTCAGTTTAACTGGACAATAGATGAATTTTTCACAGGAACACCCATCGATTGATGCTCATAATTGTCTTGTGTAGTACATAACACATGTGATATTATGTGCCCTTGAACTCAGAAAGAAGGATCAACTCCTAGTTTGGGAGTTTGTGGCAGTGTATCTTGTTAATTTATTTCCCGAAACTGTACTCTGTACATAGCAGCTACACTGTGTTTACACAAGAGTGCTTATATCATTGTACTAAAAATTTACTGATAAGATTTGTATAGATATAGAGTTGGCTTTCAGCAGAAGAGTGCTCCACTATTCATAAGTTTTCAAGAGCTTTTTGTTTGTTTTATTAATGTGATGTGAAAAAATACACATGATTTTTGGGTGTACAATAATAACTCTGTGAATGTGAATACCAGACCAACCTCATTTCACTTCATTATAGTCACAGCACTTTTCATGTTATAAATGACACAGTTATCAATCATGTATCAGGTTATGTTAATGGCTCTATATATTTGTCCCTTGTTTATGATATCAAGATCAAATCTTCGTAGAAGAAAGTGCTGCAAACTATCATATTTCTTGTTCTTGTTTTTATGTTAAAGACATGTTTCTGTATTAATTATATTCTGATGTAAATTATCAATGGAAAATCAATTAAAAAAAATATGTCACAAAATTTGCCTAGTTTTTGGTTCAGTATTTGTGCCAGTATTGCGATTGTGGTGACCTCATTTTCACCTTAACATGGATGTCGGTATGCAAAAGATTTGTTCAGTAGCATATTGTTTTGAAAACAAAGAATATGTAGAGGTCAACAAAAGAATATTGCTTTCTACATTTGATCTTCATCAGATGCTGAAACAAAGGTTTCAATGAAATAACGTTGTTAATGTGTTGAGAATGTTTCACCTTCTGGTGAAAAGACCCGTTATTATTGTTATAGTTCTTCATATTCTTCTTATTATTTTTCTGTTTCTAAAATTTGTGGAATCTTACATTGGTTAATTGGTAAGAGATTGGCTTAGTATATTGTAGGTACATTTAGGAAGATATACATGTACTTTTTCTAAGTAGGTCATAAATCCAATATGGCCACCATGATGTCGTATATTAAAAACTTAGATATAGCCATACCTTAAAAATCGTTGATGTACAGAGTTAATGCAATGATATTTTATGTAGATGATTTCCCTTTACATCTTAATACAAAATGTGTCGAATAAACAAGAGGCCCACAGACCTTAACGGTCATCTGCCTATATATGAATGAGGCCAAATAGGGATAGAATGAATTGCACAACTAATCTACAGCTTACAAAGAAGACATTGTTCTCCAAACTTGAAATCATATTAAAACATGCTACTACACAAATACCATTACGCTGAACCTATTGCTAGTTGAAAAAGAAATTTTGAGATCTTGGCTCACTTCACCCAAGATATCTTGAATAAAGTTCAAGGTCAATTTTTGAACAAACTATACATGTATTGAAAACCAATATCAACAGCCTGGGCTATTTGTTATTGTGAAGTCATTTGAAGATTTTAACATATTTGACCCCTGTGACCTTGAAAGTGGGCCAATGTCATTTATTTTAATACACTTGGTAGCCCTTCATTCCATCATGCTGCAGGCCCAATATCATTACCCTAGGCCATTATGTTATTGAGAAGAAATCATTTGAATGGAAATTTTACACTCTGGAAGATGATGTTACGAAACGAGATGGCTATACATCAGCCTGACCCTTTGGGTCAGATGACCTATAAAGCTCGCTGTTGGCATTTTTTTTTAATAGATCAGTGCAGAATGTCGTTCTGTGGAATTTATTGTCTTCAGTATGTATGTAGCATTGACGGTTTAGGTTGGATACCATTTTAAGAAATTCCATTGATCTTTTAAAATTCTGACAATTTGGTAAAACTTGTTCAGACCCTTATCAATTACATATATTTCACTTAATTGATCTGAGAAATGTTTCCCCTATTGCTATTGAATGTATTTATAAAATCTTGTCTGAAAATTTAACTTTCGGTTCTCAATAGGGGTCAAAATTAAAAATTTATATTCTCTTTCATTACACTTTGAAAAGCTTCTCAAATTTCAGGTGTAGAGATTTTATATGTAGGAGGCTATAGTCATTGGCAATCAAGTGTGCTAGTATAAATGACCTTGACCAATTTTCAAGGTTACAGTATCCAATTATGTCAAAATCTTTAAATGGTGTTTTCTCAGTAACCCAGAGACACACAGTGATTTATTTTCAGTAGTATGCTGTATAGTCAATTGCTATTGCATGTATTAATAATACCTTGGCTGAAAAATTGCACTTCAGGTCCTCAATAGGTGTCAATTTTGAAAATTCCTATTTTGGGCAGCAAACTTTTTAAAAAAAAACTTTTCTTCAAGTTTTACGAGGTTTACAGCCTTGATATTTCACATGTAAGGTGTCCCAGTTTTTGGTTATCAGCTTTGATAATATGAATGACCTTGACACACTTTTAAGGGCACAAGGGTAAATTTTGTTAAAATCTTTAAATGACTTCTTTTCAGTAGCTATGAAATACAGGGTGATGATAATCTGAAGATGTTTATTCTAGAGTCTAGATATGTAATATATAAATTGCTTTAACACTTAGCTATCATGTTTATGGAAATGACTGACCTTTAGGTGAGTTATGTAAAGGTAAAAAGACCGTCAAATTGTTGGCCAACAATCTCTAGTTACTAATGTAAGACATAGTATAGATGCAGTTCATGAAGAGGTACTAGTTTGTGTACCCAAAATAGAGACTCATCAACCAGTGACTGAGCTTGCATCTGAAATCTGGCATGGTAAGATACTTCCAGTGTACTAGCTGTGTCAAACCAAAATGGGTCACTGTAAGTCCTTTTCTGTATGGTCAGATATAAAATGAGTACAAATGCTTATGTGGAAGGTTCATTAATTTTCTGTCCATCAGTATCCTAAAACACATGTACATTATTGTAAAAGTAGTTTGAATGCTTATTTTGATTATGTTAGTAGGTTAGCAGGTTTATGTATACTGAACTAAATGGAGACCGTTTCGGAGTAATACTATTGGTTATTTGATTACTGACCTTCAGTGACCTTAACAGAATTAATAGAAAATTGGCTTCTAATGTCACTTTTTTGGGATGATATTTATGCGTTTTAAAAGTTTCTTTCAGGTATTGGTAACTGTGCCTATGTTTAAACGGAGAATGGTACATGTAGTTAGATGGTAAATTTGCCCTTGGAGAGCACTCTTGATATTTTCCAAAGTGTGAGGATGGCATGGTGCACGCTAGGAATAATGAATCTGCAATCACAAGTCAAGCATAGAACAAGATGCCTTTCGCCAGATTTCAGGTTTAGTGACCTTGAGCACATGGATGATATAAAACAAATGGGATTCCTGCAAATCTGCAACATGGGAAATGTTGGCAAGAACAGGAATATACATGTATGAATATGGAGTTGTATGTTTATTTGCAGGGTTTATTGCTCCGTAAATACCTTGGGCCATTTTTTAGGTAAAATTTCTTGGAAGTAGCTGGTGGCTACCTCGGTGAATAATATGGGAGAGGACCCTCCCATGCCATCCAGAGTATTTAGGGTAAAGTGTCCAAGGATGTCATGTCAGCAAAGACCTGTTTGTTTTCCAGCTTTTCTGAGAAGAACAAACTGATAATGGTCGGGAGCTTCCACATGTATATATCAAATAAAATGCATTTATAATAGGTATTCATTGAAAAGTATGCACATTCAACTCACCAAAACTTGACAGAAAACACAAGAAAAAACAAGAAAAAAACAAATCAATTACTACTTCTCAGAATCTTTATTACAAAAAAGACAAAAAAAATCTTATAAATGCATAGCAAGCTACTTTTAACATACTGACTCTATTTGAAGGACTAATCTAAAACATATCTTCATTTCGTTCCATGATTAGAAATTTTATCTTGAAAGAGCTTTTAGTCAAATGATTGGTTATTGTTTTCTAATACACCTGTACATTAAGGAATTACATAACAATCGGTACCAAATTCAATTACCACAATGAAAATTCTTTATCACATGTAGTTTTACAACTGTGACAATTCCATATTAAATATGTGTTGAAAACCATGTTCCCAAATAAGCAGCAGTCTGCATTCAATCCGTAACGCAAGGCTACTCAATGGATAACTAAATAATTCAATGCTTACTGAGAACTAAAACCCTCCACCATGTGGCATGCATGTAAACAGAATATGCCCCACCTAATAGAACGTATCATTCCACTCACTGACTAGTCCCAAAAGAGAACACTCGTGGAATGTTAAAAGATGGCAAAGAGGTATCTGCTTATATATAAACATAAAGCTACAAATTAGTAATAATACATTTAAAACTAACAGTTAACTAAGACAATTGCTAATTATAACTAAAATATTAAGCAGTATTTATAACACCACAGAATATACTAAAAGTAATGAGTGTATATCTGTATATTGAACAACAAAATCACCTGCTTGAGTTGCATCAAGCAAACTGCAGGGACAGCCAACAATTGGTAAGGTATTAACATTGCGTGTGTTAAACTATTGCGTATATAAATGCAAATTCAGTGACTAACAAAACAGCACTTTCATAAGAGTTAAGGTCATTTGTACTGGTCATAATTCTTATTTCACTCTAGGAATGATTTTATTATGCTAGAATTGAACTGATAGAGAAATCTGATATACAATAGCATTACAGAAACAAACCACCGGTTCTTTATGGATTTTTTGGAGACTACTGTTTTACAAGATCTTATCATTGCACAAAGACATTATGTATTTAAGTAAATAGAACACAATTTCAAGCATAAGAAATCCAGCAAGTTATATTTTCATTCAGACTTGAATCAAATTTTCTAAAGTCTCAAATTTAAACCATTTCCTTTTTTTCCATTTTCACAAAACAGTATTTCTTAGTTTACAATAAGGTTACAAAATATGTATTACACTAGATAATGGTGATATAAAGTTAGTGTTTCCATTACAAGACGTTTATCTTCTTACAGACTACATGTTCTATCCCAAAAACCAGGGATACTCCAATGTAAGCTAGATGTCCTATCCCAAAAACCAGGGATATTCCAATGTAAGCTAGATGTCCTATCCCAAAAACCAGGGATATTCCAATGTAAGCTAGATGTCCTATCCCAAAAACCAGAGATATTCCAATGTAAGCTAGATGTCCTATCCCCAAAAACCAGGGATATTCCAATGTAAGCTAGATGTCCTATCCCAAAAACCAGGGATATTCCAATGAAAGCTAGATGTCCTATCCCAAAAACCAGGGATATTCCAATGTAAGCTAGATGTCCTATCCCAAAAACCAGGGATATTCATATACCTTGATACCTAAGTTATCAAATAAGTACAGTTAATGCATGGTCTGGTGTTGCGTAATTTGAAAAAAATTGCAGAATTATGTTAACACCCATACAAAATAAAACAAAAATAAGAACAAAAAAGAAAATCAAAGGGTCTATTAACTTTTACCCAATATTTGATTCAAGGTGTTCATCTTTTCCCAATTAACTGTGTATATGTCAATATAAAAATTCTGGGTGCATATCTATTTGGGCCATATAAAGACCTTTCTAAACTATTGGTTTGCAACAGCTGGAAATAATCATGTGAATTTTGAGGGCATTAGTTTAACGACCTCTTGCCTAAATAAAAAATTTCAGCAAGAGAAATTTGTTATAGTATTACATTGTAATAAAAAAGCCATAAACATTACATAGATAGTAAAAATGTTAAAGGTGATGCATGTGTAAACAACTGTACCAGAAAAAAGGCTGAAATATTATGTCAGCAAAACTAGATATGAATTGTGTGCAATCAATTTGATCAAAATGGAGACCCACACCAAGATCACATGATTATTAACAACATCAGGAAGTATATCCAACTTCAGCTAATGGATAATGACGCATGGAATTTTGGAGTGGTGGACAATAAAGTCGCTAACACTGCCAAGCATTGTCCTCCGAAGTTTTCCCTGGCCTCTGGTCCCCATAACTATCATTGATGCTCCATTCTCCTCAGCAAATTTACAAATGGAATCTCCAACATGACTCTCATTAATCTGCCTTGCCTCACAGGCAATCTAAAGAAGAAATTTGTGTAATTATAACTGGTATCATTCAAATCATGTTAAAAACAGAGCGTTGCTATAAAATATTGATGACAATGACATGACATCACCATGCCTACTATACATTATCAGAATATGGCGCTAAACATTTCACACTACACTCATTTTGGGACTGATCAGAAAATCAAAATAGCTGACAGGTGGTGATCTTTGATTTTGACAACAATAATGTTACAGGTAATAGCTCAGAAATACTACATAGATCTTTCTGAAATTTCCAATGTTTTTTTCCCTTGCTAAAAGGTTATGCCCTTTTAATTTTTGGACTGAACTGAAAGACATTTGATACTTTGATGTACATCAAACGAATCATGCATGATGGTATGTCGTAAATGGTGGGGTAAATTGATGGTGTGAAATGTTCATGGGTGACCTTTGCCCTTTTTAACCTTGTCTTAAGACCACCAAACACCTTTTATAACCATGTGTAGACATTGGTGGGGGTAATGTTATAGTGTGAATGTGAATTTAATCTGTCGACGTGTTCAAGGAATATCTGGTACACAATTTTATCACAGCCATACAGACAGTCTCCCCCCCCCCCTACACCCATCTCTGTAGGGGACTGGAGGGTGGGGATGGGGTGTGGACAATAAGGGACCAACTTTTGTATTTCCTGTATTTATACAAATGACATTCCAGACTTGCTAATAAGATACCTATTTATATCGCCGTTCTTTAAATTTTCTAAACTGATGCTAATTCAGTCCCCCCCCCCCCCCCCCCCCCCCAGTTTGTACACCACAGATGTTTGGCAATAACATACCAAATCTGACAGTACCAGCAACCAATCCTACAAGATCTAGCAATCTGAACTTACCCTTTTAGGGCGGAGAAGATCAACATAGCCTGCCAACATCGTTTCAATACGGGTACTTTCAGCCTTTGCTTGCTCTGCTATTTCCGTAATCCTCTCCACAGAGTAGTTCCCAGCTGTTTACAAATAAAATCAAAGTTGTGTAGATATACCTCAACCTCACATTCCCTGATCTTTTTATATTGAATTCTATCAGTTTTGGAGTTCATTGTCTCTGGGTATCTTTAACACAGGCTTTTCATTGTGCTAAGTTGGGTGGGGGTAGCTGTTATGAAAACATTAATAAACACCAGTGTACAAAATAGTAGTTTTTCAGTATCCTTGTAAAAAGTGGAATACTAAGTATTATGCATATTCATTATGTATGGTAGGTAATTAACATGCATTCTTTATATACATTTGAACCTTGCTACCTCGAACTCATACAACTTGAGGACCTCATTTAGCTCAAAGTATTACATCAGTCCTTGCCAAACTTCACACTTAACATTCAAATTCACTTAAATCAATTATTCCAAAAACTTAAAGTTTTCTGACAGTCCTACTGACTTTGAGATAGAGAGAGATGTTTATTTCTAGATATCCATCCAAAATGGAATATTACTCCATTGGTAACTACTTTTAATACTTGTAATTTTAATATCTTTTTACTGATTTCAATCTTCTTCTTCAAATAAAACCTTGATAATCTGTCTTTATTAAAATGTACACCTATAACACCTAGTTGTGAGGTTAGTGTAGTATCATTATTGACGGATCACAAATAAAATTTTAAAATATGATTTCTTTTTTTTAAATGCAATATGAATTGTCAAACAAGCAGCATGATATATACACTTTACTATGTGTTATCATTCAGACTTTGATATCAGCCAGACTGGCTCCTAACTCCAGATAAAAGCCACTTTACACTGACTGTAGAAAAGAAGTGATGATTTGGGATTTTTAAATGTTTCCATTTTTGTTCTGTCTCGCCTTTTTTTGGGAGTCACGTGGTTAGGCAGTCTTGAATTTCTTGGCTAGGCAATTTGGTGTTGTAGATTGTGAGTTTGAAGCCTGGTCAGGGCATGAGTCTAAATTTGCTTATAGAATAAGAACTAAAATTATGGTGTAAGTTTGAGTATCTTGATAATCCCTTCAGCCTATGGACACTGAAGGCCTCTTTTCAAGGGGCAAAAAGAATCTATGTTGTATGAAAAATGGTGATTCAAATATCAAAAATCCTACTTCAAAAACATTATGGAATATGGCTCTTAAATGAAGTTTTTTCTTTAATTTTGAAAAAGTTGAAAATCAAAAGTTGACTTCATTGTGAATCATAACTTAAAACAGATAGCCCTCCATTCACCTCGATATGCAATTAATGGTACACAGTCTTGTATTAGTTATAGTATTAGAACTTGTCCCTCACAATCATTGTAAATTTAATTTTCATCAGACTTACGAAGTAATCCAGTATTAATCTTTTGAACTAGTTCAACCACAGTTACCACATATACATGATCTCCTTCTTGATGAATATTTTTCAGGTACCCTGAAACGAAAACACAGCCACATATCAACAACAATCACTGAAGCGTACTGCTAAATCTAAAGAGCATTGTTTCAACTGTCATTAATCTGCAAGAATTAGGAATAAATCTATCTAGATAGACTTTTCATTAAATGAGTCTTTAGTTCAGGTGTAAATCAAAAATTTGTTAAATCTTATTCCACAATTATTTCAATCATTGCATATTCTGTGCTAATATAAATCATTCCATATTCCGTGACTCTTCTATAATAATTGCACATCATGTTAAAGTGTTGCTGTAAACATAAATATGTATTAACCCACTGTTGCTGTATCATATCAAATAGATATAGCTGTTTATTAACTTAATAGTACATGTATTAAAAGTATTTATCTACAGATGTACTTTTTTGTTAGTCTCTGAAGCCGTCCAAACACCACCCTTCTCCCTCCTCTTTTTTTTACTTAAACTTGCCTTGCTCTTGCAAATCATCCTATCAATGAGGAAACAGTATAATATTTTTTACATGTATACTATTAATTTGATGTGTGATCATAAGAATTCCAAAAGAATTCATACATAAAGGTAAAAAAAAAAAATTAGAAACACATGCTGTGTAGGGTCAAGGATAGTCAAGTTATACCAGTGCCAAGTATCGATGTGGTATGTACATTTTTACAGGTGGCCTCAATCACCTTTAGGTCTTGAGGCTCTTTGGGCAACTCTACAACCCAATTACTGCTCAACAGAAAATTACTCAAGACAAATAACAAAGAGTCTCTCATCCATTAGCATCTGTGATGGACAAGAGCTAGCTAGGGCTTCTTTGTAAACCAGAAGTCTGGAAACACGAAATGGAAGAGAAGAGAATTTGGTCACTCTCAACACATACAAATAATGTATTTATATTTCTATAATCATTAGAGACTTGTGACATTAACATTACATGATAGTATTGTCTTCATCTGGTTAGTTTCCTATTAAAGTTGACAAAGGGCTGGCATTATATATAGTATAAGGTAAAAATAACAAGAAAATATCAATATATGAACAGAATCATGATCAAATTCAAATTCAATAAATCTAGGGTAACAATGATTAGTGTTGTGTAAAAAATCAGTGATCGATAATATTTTTTCATAATCGATTAATAGGTAAAATTTAAGAAATGTTTTAATTTTTCATCCTACATCCGGTTTCGCTGTTAGAAATGTATAAAGGGAGATTACTTGCTATTTAAGGTTTAAAAATATGGTGGTTAAATAACTATTAGTCGGAAGGGTTCTAACTACCTACAATTTAATTTTTGTCTTCACTGTGCATGTGGTCAATGTAAGAATGACAAGACACGAAATCCTAAGCAACTTTTGGTATAGTTTACAATAGGCAATGTTTTACAAGATTGTTATAAATCATATATCAAAGGAAGCATAAAATGGGTTTTTACTAATCTGTTACTGCAACTGATGTCACACCACTCCAAGGTATCCCAAACCCACTGACAAACTAAAGAGCATCAAACATGTCCAGCTTCATATTGCACAAAGAAATAGAATATTTAACAAGCAATTCTTAGTCATCCATTTAATAACTACATGTACATAGCTGACTCAATAAGTGCACCACACCTATAGGGGCACCTGTTACAAACTCTAGTTTTCTGAGATAAATACGACACATCTATGCCACAAAAACAAAGTGAAATCATTGCTTATGACCTAAAAACATTCAATATTCAGTTCCCACCAGAACTATGGCTGAAAACAACAATGTCTTCAATGACTATTTTTTTTATATATCAGTTTTATGTCTCCACAAAATGCATGCAGAAACTTCTCTTTGTTCTAAGAGTCACTGGTAATATATACATGTATTTGTATACCGTAATTGATGTAGGTGATTGTTTCAAGTCAATTTTTAAAAAACTTATTTTACAACAAGAAGTTATCAGCTTATACAATGTACTAGTTAATCGCTCTCCTTAGTCAGGATGGAAACATACAAGGGGTCTTACTGTGATAGAAAACTGGAGTAACCATTGAAAACTGATGAGGTGGGCCGGGTCAGGTGACATCATACTTTTTCATATTCGCTCCAGATATCAAATCCAGGATGTATAATTAAAAAGTGAATGTATTACTACTGTGCCAGTCGACCATTCAATAAAAGGAATTGGGAACATGGCCCACATTCGACCCCACAGAGTCCCTGGATAAAGGTCTGAACATTTACTCTCAGATTGTTCTGATTAAATAACATCCTTATTCTCTGGACACTTACAATATCAAATATGGTAATTTATACATACTGTAAATACATAATGTATTAGGTACAATTCATACAAGCTGTAGCACCTTGACTTTAATTTAATTCTGCAAAACAATATGTGATTCATCATTCTATTTTTAGAATCTTTTACATTAACTTAAGATCTGATTTGAAATAATCAAACTGTACCTGAATCATTGGTATTATTGCTGGCACATGACTGATACCAACTGTCATTAGCATGTGAATTCAATATGTCTTAAAATTGTCTTGTTCTGTAAGCATCCATTATATGCCTGTAGACAACATGTAGATCAATTAGGCCTATTATCTATACTTCTTCAAACTGTTTCTGGCAAATAAATACATTTCTTTATGAAGTGTGCCTGTATGAGTCAGAGAATGAACCAGTAATAACATCAGGTATATGGTAAATATTATGGTAAATTTCTTGTTGGTCATTGGCCTGGATATATCTCAGCCTGGACAGGTATATCTTGTACAGGTCACTGAAGTGTATATATCTCAACATGGTCATTTATCTCTCAGTAACCTCTTCAGAGGTTTCTCTCATTCTGTACAGCTATATGGCCAGGAGGATCTCTTTCCTGTAATAAGGGGTCTCTGTTACTTCGACAATTTTGTCTGTAACCTGGTCATGTGTAAATGGAACAAACCCATAGAAACTATGGCTAATAGTATTTCCCCTGTGGGATTTCCTATCTTCTCCTGCCCACATACAGTGACATTAAGTACACAGTCACTGTGGGCTTTTTACTTTTATTGATGTTATGTTGCGTTAGTACACCAGTAAAGTGTGCCCCTTCAGAACATTGTATGTTACTAGTTTTCCTCTAACAGTGAGCAACAACTGACGAGTGACAAAGTTCCATTACACGCTATTGATCTCCTTCCAAACAACTATTTTTCAGGCTCTTCTAATACCACAATAGTATGTCTGTATCACAGCCACAGAATCAAACCTACTCCAGTGGTAGGTGTGGAGCTCCACCACCTCCTTCACTGCATTGCGCACATGCATGGGGCTCTATACATTTTTGCAATACATATCCTAGGAATCAAAAACCATTATATGTGATTAAGTACTCAGACATGGTGCTGGCTCAGTCTTTCACTACATGTGCAAAAAGAAACTTTAATTTCAATTTCTTTGGCACATATTTTTTTTATACAGAAATTGTGCATGCCTATTTTACCCTAGTACTAGTAAATAAAGCCATTGAGCCACCAATTCTTGCCAGTGTTTAGGGAAATGATAATCAATTTTAACAAAGCTTGACAATTTTCCAGAAATTTTCAAAAAATGCATTTTCTTTCTTGAAAAATTGATGTAAAAGTTTGTGATCCTACTAAGAAAAGTATGTATTGGCAACACTGTACGGGTATAGGTTGATAACCAGTATAGCTGACACAAGTATCTTGAAAAGCTTCTTCATTATTTATATACATTATAGACATAGAGCTCAATTTTTTTCCTCAATCTACCACAACATTCAATAACAGTATATACAAAGTATTTGGTCTGATAAATTCTTAAAACACAAATATATATACTAAACAGTATACAGGCCTAATTAAGTGCTAATCACATTGTTTAGTGTATATGAACAGTTGCTGCAAACACCTGTTATGTTGATGCGATTAGTTGTAGCAGAGGCTTTCTACTTGTTGTACAGCAGTTTACTAAAATAGTATCACCTGGCCAGTTACCAGGCGACTATTGTGTAGATCCTAATCTATACTATGTTAAGGTATGACAATGTGTGAGGTCAGTTCTCACAGGTCGACAAGTTACCAGACACCTCTAGTGGTTAATCATTTCTGGATGTTTATATAGGTCACCAGCTAGTACACAGAACAAGGCTCTTCATTTAAAAATCAAAGATGGAGGTCTAACATTTCAAATTCATGATAGTATCATGTGAGCTCTTTAAAAAAAACTACAGCAGCAATATCAATGAATAAAAAAGTAAAACATTCTACAAAAAAAATCTGTTTCTGATTGCAGTTTATAGATCCAGATTCCCTTCGTTACAATCTTGTCTGAAATTAGACACAAACACTATTACAATTGTCTATGGATCAACAACTCTGATCAATTCTCTGTAATTGTGGAGAAATTATTGATGGATTATTGATTGGTTTTAAGGAAAACCAGTAGACTTGAGTACTGTAAAGAGCAAGGCATTATTCATGTATTCCTACACTCTAGTTGTTCACAAACTCCAGTCTAGCCAACATTTGAGGAGATTCATATTATGGTCACTTCAGTGAATAAACAGAAATGATGTTAATGTTTTGTTTTATTAAAATTTGCAGTTTACACCTATATTTTACACACACACACACACACACACACACACACACACACACACACACACACACACACACACACACACACACACACAAGGAACTTGAGGATAAATACTGGAATGAAACAGTAAATGCTAGTACACATAACATCTGAATGTACTTGTCGACCTATTTCTGACACAGTAAAAGTCATCACTTTGTGTTATTTATGGTCACTGTCACTTAAAGCTGTTCTACCTGTAGAGCAGTGCTCACTGTGCCCTTCACCAAAATAGATTAGAGTTCCCTACAATTTCTCAAGGTCACTCAAGTAGACTATGGTGTGTCAAACCAGCCAGCTCTTTCTTTAAGAATCATAACAAGACAAATATTCTACAGTTTAGTTTAGGTAATATTGACTCAGCTTAAGTAATTAGAGATCCAGGCTCTCATCAATCCCTCCTATTCTATCTTTCTATTTTTTTTCCATTTCCATAATAAATCCACATTAGAGATTTTCTTTCCAAGGTAAGACATGCTTGCGTCTGATTAATATATGTTTAGTGCACCTGAAAGGATGACATGCACACAAGATGTAATTAACATATTTGTCTACAGCTACTTAACAGTAAAATTAATTTACATATTTTGTGTACATACAAGTATGTCTTAGTAATCCGTATAAAATACACACTATATTAAACTAATGTTCATTTAGGTTTATCATTGATCAAAGACAGTTTAACACACTGAAGACCTTTGAATTACTGAACAAGGTCAAAACATTTCAGGTTTGTGAATTAATTTGGTGTTTGTCAAGGAACAACTTTTAGAAATCTTATATTAAAAGTTCAATATATTACTTATGAAATTGTTAACTTCTGATATCATTTTTGGGATGAATGAAACATTTCAGTATCACTAAATTGTTCTAAAGACATGAAAATATGTCATTTTCAACAAGATGATCAACAAGACATTGTAAATTTGCAAATGCTGAAATTTCAGTTAAGAATTCAGCAGTGTTTTGTTCATCACTGATCAGAATAATCTACTGCTTTTCGTTATTTAATTTTATCGTGTTGTTTCCATGACTCCCACTGTTCAGAGACAATAATTTTCAGCAAAGATTTCATTTTCTTTTCCTTTAACATTCGAATGTCCCAAAGAAAAATTGTTAACCCTAGACACACTAACAGTAAGAAGTATAAATTATGTATAATGGAGGATACTAAGTTAATTATCACTAAATCTAGTAAACTTAAAAATTAATTTACAAAATTGTCCTATTTTTCATCTAAAGGGGAAATATGAATATCAAACTGTCAAATTACGATTAATTCTGTCCATTTAAGAGCAATATCTGCACATAAAGTATATAATATCTGCTTTACTCGAGTCACAACCAAGTATGTTCGTACCTCCTCGAACGCCCCGCCCACTTTAGCATGAACCACTCCCGTCAGCAAGCTTGGTTGCCGTTATCACAAAGGGAAAACTGACGCTAAATATACACAGAAATTTAAGCTAATATTGAGAGATAATTTATTTTGGTGCCTTTTCGAATAATCAAGCCATGCCAAATAAAAGTGTAAAGAGTAGGCTTACGGCACTTCCACATTTTTAATGGTTTCTACGATTATACGCAAAATGATCGAACACCATGCAGAGACATAGTTAAATTTTATATAGTCTACTTACAATCAAATGCCCGATTGGAATGTTCGCTGCTGTCAACAGCTATAAGGATTTTCCTTCCAGCGGCTTTCTGTTCCATGGTTGGGAGAATATTTCAAACTGGGCCTAACTATCACACAAGGTCAGCCTTATTCACTGTTCGTAAGGACGTTATAAATAAAACCGGAAGAGCACGGATGTGGAATCCGGAAAATACGAAAACATATTGCATCCAATGGCAAAGTTATTTATTGGTAATTTAGATAGAAAGAGATGTATATATGTGTGGAATACTGCTAACGACCATATTTATTAACAAGAGGTCCATAGGTCCTTGTATCGCTTACATGGCTTTACTTAGCTGAAATTGTTTTATTTAAATCATGAAAAAACAACACTCAACATAATTGACCCAAACTCAAAGTCAATAAAACTAAGACAAGAAATTGACAAAAGAAAGATTTACACGGAGACTCATGAAAAAAGTGGGAAACTGAAGGAAGATGATCGGAATTCTAAATGTTCAACCGCACAGCATATAATATACCCATGTTTTTTCATTGTGCGCTAACCTTCTGTCCCAGGGGGTCAGCAGAACCAATCATGTTACAGACCAAGTTGAGGCATAATCTTACCATTCCCACAGAAGAAGAATTTTAAAGAATTTGTTATATTTTCCATATTGGGTCATGCCCCTTCTGCCCTAGGGAGCAAAGATGCACTGTTTTTACAACATTGATTCCCCTTCACCCAATCATGCTTCGGACCAAAGGTGGGCAAAATCCATTCATTCTTACAGGAGGAGTAGGATTTTCAAGAATTTGCACCACTTTCCCTCTTAGGCCCCGTCCATCTGGTATCCGGGGTTAAGACAAACCATTTATACAAAATTGATACCCCCTCACTAAAAATTCTTCAGATCAAAATTTTGGAGAAATTAAAGTATTCCTAAAAGAGGAGTAAGATGTTTAAATTTTTTCTCTATTTCCCCTATAGCACCCCATCCTTCAGGACCACAAGGGAGAGACCCATCATTTATTCGACATTGATTCCCCTTCACCCAACAATTTGGGAGCATCAAATCATTTCTTCAGAAGGAGTAGTACTTTAAAGAATTTACTCTGCCTACCTTGATTGGGCCAGTTTCTCTGGCCCAGGGGACCGATACCAACCGTTTATAAAAAGGATTTCTCTTCACATAATACTCATACCATATTTGGTAATAATCTAGCATTAAATGTTGAATGTATTTGTTTCATCTGTTCTTAATTTTGGTTGTGTAATCTGGTGATCAGTTAGATAGAGCACATACCGACTTTTTAAAGAAAAAAATAATCTTGCATGTTTGCAAGAGCATACCTTCTTTTATGTAATATTCTGAACTAGGTCGTTTTCCTCTGCATATCACTCGGAATTGCAGAGGGATAAGATATTGGTTGAAATTATCTAAGTTGTTTATTGAAGTCAGTGTATGAAGATAGAATTGAATATAATCACAGAAACTAAGTGGCGGTGCCAGGTTGTTAACGAAAAAGTGTTTATATATATATTTTTTTTCAAACGACGCCTTGTCGATAATTTCATTCAATTATGGAATGAATATGTTAGCTCGTTTACTTTAAAGCACTTTAAAGCAAAACCGATTCCAGATATCTATATTTGACATATCTAAATTTCAATTGTCTTCTCATCAGTCGCAGTACAGAATTTAGTAGAAGACGGGTTCCTTTTTATAATAACTTGTCCTCTGTACATGAATTTAAGTAACAAATATATTAAAATATACTTTTGGAGCCGTCCATTGTCGTTTAAACCTGTACATGTACTAACGGTACGTAATAGAAAAGAACTTTGTTTTCTAGGCAAATATTTACAACCAAGTTTATTATTATGATCAACATTTCAAGCGTAATGTGTGTTGCTTATTTATCACGCATCTTCTGCCAATTACCTCCTGTAAAATGATATTGTGTGGCAGAATTCAAATTAGGATTATCTTTCCATTATCCTTTTGTACTCTTATGCGTACTCAGCTGTCCGCTAGTCCGTCTTGGCTTTTGTCTTTGTATACTATCTGAATACCTTGTGTGTTGTGATAGCCTCGTATTGTACATGTGCATTTTATTCTTGTGTTTTTAATTGTAACGTTTAAAGTGAATGAGCAATATAACCAACTTCACTATACCTACATAAAACCCCAAACCACCCATGATAGGATTAGAAGTAGAATCTTGATATTAATATTGAAAGTTATTACTTTACATTAACTAAATAAGAGTACTTCCCGAAATGCTTTACTATAGTAACAACGGTGTACTAGAATAAAAGAATATCGATTTGTTATGAAATTTGGATGAAACTTTTGAAAGATTTTATTGTCGGGCAAATATGAACTATTTTCCCGAAGAATAATTCCATTATTCAAAATTGAACGATGCTTATTGATAATCAAATAAAATGATACATTTAAATAAATGTTTATCTTTTATCCTTCAATATAAATATCCCATACTTTTGTATTCACATTTTCTGTGAATGTGTGTGTTTGTCATGCTGTAACATTCATGCATATGTCATCCCCATATATGATGAACAAATACATTGCATACGTATATATAACTGTGTAATTACCATCAGGTTAATGATATATGCGTATGAATCACAAAGGTATTGTCTACTGCAAATGAAAGACTTTATATAATTAATATTTCAATAAAAGTCTAAATCTAATTACATAGATCTTTCACTATATCATAAGCTCACTGTCAGTTCGTGACATCTGATCATGAGCCAACGATATTTATCGTAATTGTCTCCCTTAGCACGTGCTTCACGAAAATCAACGTTTATACAGGACACCTCGCTACATTTTATCGATGACGAATCACCCAAACGACGGAAGTGTTTAGAAAATTTTTGCGTAACATATGTTCTGGTATAAGCCGTAGAGGTTTCCATAAAGGTGCGTCTACTCACCATTCACACACACTTAATTTTTAACGCAACAATATAAAATCTAGCGGGTTCAGAAGATATATCTAGTGAAAGTTTACAGAACCGATAGTTAGAAAACTCGTATACGATGTTCACTGTGGCTAGTTTTAATCTTGGGAGAAACGATGATAAATTTAACCTAAGGCCGAAATAGCGATACCAGGTTCCAAATGCATGACGAAACATAGTGACAGGTTTCATTTTACACAAAATCTTTCTAGCAAGCAAGTAAGCATCGTGCATCGATGTATTCAATTTTTTAAAAATAGAAATCATTTATAAATTGAGAAAAAGGGGAAAAAATGAAACAATTTTAAGCGAACAAAATATACAGAAAGATACTCAGAAAGATATTACAATACCCGATATTCCATGTTGGACTATATCATAATAAACATTTTTTTCTTCACTTATTTATATGGCGAATATCCAGTACATGGAAAATATCATAATAAGCGGGGTATCATAATATCCGATATCATAACAAGTTGGACCCACTCTATAAGAGCATATGACCGAGTCGATGACCGTAGAAAAGAGAACACACTGCTGATGCAATCTTTTGATACAGTAAATGTAAAAGTCATTACCTTAAGAATCGCAATTATTTAAAGAGAATATAGAGTACTGTCCATTCACCAGAAAGACTATATCAGTGAGGTTATATTTACCTTAAATTGGCAAGAAAACCGTGGTTTTTGCCAACATATTTTCGTGATTCTTTCCTCAGGAATATCGAACTACGATTTGATGAAGGAACTGGTATTATAATAAAAAAAATTAAACTTCACGGCATTGCCCCTTTAAAAGTAAAATACGTAACCAATTTCTCATTTTATAGTGAAAACAAGGAAATATTTAACATGATACCAAGTGGCCGGAAGTAATTTTTAGATGTAGCTCCATAGTATCAAATTGAACGTATACACATCAGAACCTACGCGAGTATCGACTGCCTTGGTCCTGTTTTATCATGGGTAAGTACCGTTTGTTAATTCTAGAATAGATCGAAGAAAGTCAGAATTTTATATAATCGTGAAAGTTTCCCTCCTGCAGCGTAGACCTTGATCGAACACTAAGTCTGTACAAATATTTTTCTCTGGAACATGACGCCCTTAGGACACGTCATCATCACTGGAACTATGTCTCTCGTTATTTATTATCGACACATTTTTATTAAGAATCACGTTGTAATATACGGTTGCATTTCTTACGGAAACGATTATAACGAGTTGATATGACAGATACCAAAATAGCTTCTCATCGATGATTAAAACGTGTCATTTTTAAAGATTCCAGATACGAAATTAGGATGTATTTCCTTGATCCAGTAAGTTGGTATCAAAATTATAATAATAAACAACAATTAAAGTTATTATAAATTTTTGTATTTAATATGTAACTCACAGGCAAAATTAAACTCTTGCAAAATAAAAATGGACAAAAAAAACCCACTTAAAAACGCTTTAGGGAAATAATGAAGATTGCCGGAAATACTGCGCGCCTTATCTACCTACAAGTGGGTAATTTATACACGTTTTACTGAAACAGTTCTACCAGGACATTGACTCATTTATCGTTATGATCATTATTTTGCCAAGATTTGAAAAAAATAAATAAATAAAAAATGAATAAATAAAACATCATCGTGTTAGGATTAATGACACAACCCTGCTTATTAAAACTTGTTTGTAGTAATCGTCATGCTCTTTTCGTACATGATTTTTTTAAAGTTTGAAATGCCGTTAGATATTCTGATCTAGATATGAAATAGAAATAAAACAATGATTGATGTATGAAAGTGTTACAGAAGATTAATTCATGTACAGGTGAAAAATAAGGGTAAACCTAACAGGGGCTCACATAGAGATTTAAACGAGGGGTTAATTTATTATGGGGTTCATGAGATATCTTTCACGCAAGCTTTTAATGTCAAAAGTAGCCAATAGTGACCTTTGATATTCAACCTTGACCGATGACCACCAAAATATAATCTGGTGTAGAACTTGATGGTGTGATGCTATAGAGTGGAAATGAACTAAAACCTTGACAGGGTTCATGAAAGAACTTGTACATTAGATTTTATTCGAGAAATGGTAAAGGGTGACGTTTGACTTTAACATAAGTCTGTTAAGGTGTAGATCTTATTGGAATTACCTTTTCATATATGTGAATATGAATCAACTAGACCCAGTGAATCACGTGACAAGGTAAGAGATAGCCGGTGGCCTTTAACCTTGGTCAATGGCCATTGAAATGTTACCAGGCGTAGACCTTGGTGAGGCAATGCTTTGGTGAATATATAAATTAACTATATCCATGGGTTCACGGATGCACGGACGAACGGACGCACAGTCAAAGTGATATGCAGCCCCTGACTTAATTGGGGTAGGGTGAGGGTTTAATAAATTGTAGCTTTTTCGGTATGATACCTAAAGAATTCATTGGACATGATCTATAACGTACGTAGCCACTTGCAGTCAACATACCAAAACACCTCCTAACTAAGTATATCCGGGTCTCTACCAAAACGTCAAGTATTTTTAGTGAAGATTCCACTATTTCGAGGATGACATCTAAACAAAAATTAAAAAGCCTACACAATTTGACTTCAGGTTTACCGCCAGACTCGGGTTTTCACTTGCTACGAAAAGCGTTTAGTTTGATTTCAGAAATACCCCAAATTCTCTGTTATGGTATTGTGTGTGGAAATTCAAAGCGATAAGCAATAAACCCGATATAATCCAACAAAGTACATGTAATAAGCCTTGTAAAGCTGGCTCACTAGAACTGTTTCACAGCACTGGACGGAATAGGTTCCACAATGTGTTGGGATTTCTGACAGTGCTAAAGTAGAATGCCAACACTCTGCTACTTTGGAAACATCAATGTGCAGCCATCAGATGTTATGAAACAGACCACCATCTCCATGTTGGTATGTTAAATAAAAATATGATATACAATATTAGATCAGTGTATATCCACCACCGCCCAGTGAAGCCTTCCAGTAACATTATGTCCTACGCTTTCTTCCATGCTGTAATCTGGAACAGCAGATTACAAACATCATAAGAAACTTAAAGATGATCGATTATTTTTCTATTTCGATCTCCCAGAGTTACTTCCCTTCGCTCCATCCAGTCTCATGCTAAAGCGATAATCGTGACAGTCGATTGGAGCCGAGAATGTGATTTTCCCTGAAATCACAAGTAGTAGGTTGAGGTATTCCCAAAGCATTAAATATTTAAAAATTTGTGTTACAGTCTTGTGCTTGTAAATTTTAATGTACAGCAGACCTCTTTAATCCGTTATCAATTAATATGTTATAACCAATTACAGCCTTATTTGATTTATCACACATAAAACACCTCAGAGGGATCTCGGCGCCAATCATTGAATGATTTTTTTTTATTGTTTAGTTCTAGCATATCACAGAGGCTTGTGGCAATCTTTCCAAGGTATGGGTTTGTACAGTAAACTGCGATGCACCTTAAGAGTTCAATGGGAAACACCATGGGCTCAAAAGAACAGTCCTTTTCAACCTTACTTATTTCACAACAATTGCGAAACTAATTTTTCCAATTTATGCAAGTTACAGTTATAGTTGTTCCAGATGGAAACTCGGGAGGTTTTAATGTGGAAGGAAGCTAGATTTCACGGGAAAACCTCATGTGGTCGTGCAGGTAACCTCATACTTTTTCACGTCCGTACCGGGAATCGAACCCCGGACGCTTAGGTGAAAGGCGAGGGCGTTACCACTGCGTCATCCGACCACCTTGATCCAAACAGCACCACCTAGAAATAGACACAATAACCCGTAACTATCGAAGTCCAACATGGCCATAGACAGCCGTTTCCCGACTCAGTCCCAAAACGGAGAGTATGCCATGTATCTATAATACATTCAATAATTCTCAAACAACAACGACAAAAAGGATTAAAGACGAACGGGCCGACGACGAAGTTCGGACGAAGACGATGACGAAGAGCTAAACAGTACATACATGTAAACTTATCCTATACAAAACAGTCATGCTTTACTCGTATTACAAAACATTTCAAACACTGTGCTTATAAACCATGGCAACCTTGCCAACATTTCGATTTTTTTTCAAATAATCCAAATTGCATTATTTGATGCAAAACAGTATCCCAGATCAAATAAACATGACACATGAAATGTTTATACAACTACTTCAAAAATGTAAATGTTTTACATTCCCGTGGCCATCTTGACCACCATCTTGAGTATTTCAAATTACCCGAAGTGATCGTTTAACGCCTAGTTAGACCTCGTTCTATACACCACAACAAAGAGCTTCGTGTTACATACTGTAAAAAGAGGATAACAATGTTTAAACATTGTGACAATAAGTTGATATTACAAATCAAAACTTGACTTTTTATCATTTAATATAAACATTATATTCTCTGATTAGCTTCCGGATACAATTGGGAATGCAGCCGCTGTAAATGTGTAAATGGTGGGCGTGACGACAAGTGTAACGAATGTGGCCTACACAGATTTGGCGACAGGCGCAATCAACCCCGGAAGTCTTCATGTGGTCGGCGGGGCGGCAGTGGTGTGAAGTATGACTGGGACAGCGTGTCCCAGAGGCAGACATCTACAACGGAATTTGATGATCCTTCAGAAAGGAAATGCGTAGCACGTAGAAGACATGGTATGTCTAGAGTTTGTCGGTGTTCTTTGTGTTTGTGTTTTTCTCTCACTTAAAACACAAAAGCAATTAATTCGGAGATGCCCTGGAAGGGATTATACTTGATCTTAACTGAACTCTAAATCTCTAGTGTCATAAAGCTAACTTGGCCAGAGGGCGTTTTTATCAAACGGTTAATGGCAGTGCTACTCCAAATGTGGCAAAAAGGGGACCGTTAGAACACCGCTAGAACACTGATAGGGAAACAAAGCCTGCTTTTTAAATGTTCATTACAATTGTTTATGTCACTTCTTTCCAGACCAGGTCTGCCCCCCAGGGCCAACACGGACGGACAGGAACACGTGTCAAAGATCCCTTTCACCAACTGACAGAAAGTATCAGACTCCAGCTTCTGGCAGAACACGTGACAAGCCTTTAACACACGACTCCGTCTACAACATGCGAAGAGGTTCGGAAGACTCCATAAGTAAGCTAGTATTGCTTATAAGTTATAACACAATTTGAACATATCACATGGTAGTCTTAAGATTATTAACATTCTAACAAAACGGAGTTATCATATTACGTATTTTGATTCTGAAACCATGGTAGAAGTATTAATCGTGTTTCACTCGTGGATCCGATCAGAGATGTATATCTATCATGTTATATAGGTCTCTAATCTGACCGAGTGTTTCGTAAAATAGTCCTTTGCTGTCAAATTAAAACCGAGAACAACTGCGTTTGACCTGTCCTTGTCTGTACTAATCAATCAATGCATCATATTCTCCAGGATCCCGTGATTCTGAGACACTCTCTCGGTCATCAAGATCATCGAATGACTCGCCTCCAGGTCCAGGAAACCCTTCCTACCCAAGATCAGGAAACCCTTCCTACCCAAGATCAGGAAACCCTCCCTACCCAAGATCAGGAAACCCTTCCTACCCAAGATCAGGAAGCCCTCCCTACCCAAGATCAGGAAACCCTTCCTACCCAAGATCAGGAAGCCCTCCCTACCCAAGATCAGGAAACCCTTCCTACCCAAGATCAGGAAGCCCTCCCTACCCAAGATCAGGAAACCCTTCCTACCCAAGATCAGGAAGCCCTCCCTACCCAAGATCAGGAAACCCTCCCTACCCAAGATCAGGAAGCCCTTCCTACCCAAGATCAGGAAACCCTTCCTACCCAAGATCAGGAAACGGCCGAAAACCGGTTTGGGATGACTGTGTGGACAGTAACGAGCGACGACTGGTTCTGCTGGGAAAGACTGGGTGCGGGAAAAGTGCTACCGGTAACACTATTTTGAGTGGCGACTTTTTTCGTTCAAAAGTCTCTGGGGTATCCGTCACACGATCTTGTCGTCGAGGCGTGACCCAGAGGAATGGTAGGGAGATTCACGTGGTTGACACACCAGGCGTGTTTGACACTGACGTTGATAACGAAACAACGACCCAAGAAATCGTCAAGTGTATCGGGATGACGGCACCGGGCCCCCACGCTTTTATTGTAGTCGTCAGCGTCGGACGCTTCACGGCGGAGGAGCGAGACTCGGTGGAACATTTTATCAACCATTTTGGCAAATCGGTCCAGAAATATATGATAGTTTTGTTTACAAGAATGGATGCTCTTCATGATGAGAACCTAACGCTAGATGACCATCTGAAAGGAATCCCTTCTTCACTGGCCAGCGTCCTAGAGCGATGTGGTGGGCGATGTATCGGATTTAACAACAAAGGGAACGAACGAGAGACGTCACGCCAAGTTGACGAACTGATGGAAATGGTAGAAGTTCTTTTTAAGACCAACCATGGTCGCTTCTACACAAACAACATGTACATGGAGGCAGAAAATGTGATCCGAATAAGAGAAGCGGAACTAAGGAGCGTGGCGGTCGAGCAGAAACATCGCGACATGGAGGAAATCAAGGGCGACAACGAAACCCGCTACAAAAGGCTGATTGAGAAATACGAAAACGAGCAGCGGGAGTTGGAGAAAACACTTCTTGAGGCTGAATCTAAAAACCACTCCGACGGTCCAGACGGGCGAATACGAGCAGACGAAATTGGTACAGAAATCCATGCCATTCGTACTCGGATAGATCAGGACAGACGCGCCGGTCGTAAGGTCAACCCACGACTAGAAGACAAGTTATCGTCCCTGGAGAAGGAACGTAATAGCATCGTCCGCATGCAAGATAATGTTGTCAAGATGCGATCAGACATAAAATCACTACGCGAACAGGTAGAGAGTATGAAAAGGAAGGTGTTGAGTACGAAACGAGAACAGAATGACGATAAAGAAAGACGACTGCGGGAACTCGAGAAAAAGTACGCTGCCACCGAGAACGTGACGAGGGAAATAGTACGTAAAGAAGTGGAAAAGGGAGAGACAAACTTCGGCGATCAGCTGCTCGCCACAGTGATTGGTATAGGCAAGGCTGTCTGGAAAGGCCTAACTAAATTCTTCTAGACTTTTTAAACCCTCAAAGAACCGAGATAGGTCCCACCGACAAGTCAGGTCCCATTATACTGGGCAAGTCATATAAACCCCTTCTAGACAGATCACAAAAATCTTATCACGTCAGATTACACCAAACTCTTCTACATATATCACACATACCTTGTTTTTTAGCCTGGTGCCACATAAACCCATTTTAGATACATTCCACTAAATATTTTGACAGATCACACAAACCTTATTAAATCAGACATCACACAATACTTTTCAGAGAGATCACAAAACGATACTAATTCAAATACCACCATGCAAACTGTTGTGGACAAATTTCACAAACCCCATAAATTCAGATCATATGAAAATTAATTAAAGCCTAGCTAGTCAGACCTACCTTTCCTGAGATCACACAAACCCCATGTATGAAATATCAAAATATCTTCAAAAACCTTCAAGACAGATCACACAAGTAAGATTTTGTAACATTTTTATCAAACTCTTTCAGATTGATCAGAAATCTTCCTCTGGACAGACCATACAGCATTCTTCTGTGTGGATATTTACTGACATGTATTGTATAAGTGGATAATTACAGACATGTATTGTATAAGTGGATAATTACTGACATGTAATGTATAAGTGGATATTTACTGACATGTATTGTATAAGTGGATAATTACTGACATGTATTGTATAAGTGGATAACTACTGACATGTATTGTATAAGTGGATAATTACCGACATGTATTGTATAAGTGGATAATTACTGGTATGTATTGTATAAGTGGATAATTACTGACATGTATTGTATAAGTGGATAATTACTGACATGTATTGTATAAGTGGATAATTACTGACATGTATTGTATAAGTGGATAATTACCGATATGTATTGTATAAGTGGATAATTACTGGTATGTAATTAAGTGGATAATTACAGATATGTAATGTATAAGTGGATAATTACTGACATGTATTGTATAAGTGGATAATTACTTATATGTATTGTATAAGTGGATAATTACTGACATGTATTGTATAAGTGGATAATTACTGACATGTATTGTATAAGTGGATATTTACTGACATGTATTGTATAAGTGGATAATTACTGACATGTATTGTATAAGTGGATAATTACTGACATGTATTGTATAAGTGGATAATTACTGACATGTATTGTATAAGTGGATAATTACTGACATGTATTGTATAAGTGGATAATTACTGACATGTATTGTATAAGTGGATATTTACTGACATGTATTGTATAAGTGGATAATTACTGACATGTATTGTATAAGTGGATAATTACATGTATAAGTGGATAATTACTGACATGTATTGTATAAGTGGATAATTACTGACATGTATTGTATAAGTGGATAATTACTGACATGTAATGTATAAGTGGATAATTACTGGTATGTATTGTATAAGTGGATAATTACTGACATGTATTGTATAAGTGGATAATTACTGACATGTATTGTATAAGTGGATAATTACTGGTATGTATTATATAAGTGGATAATTACTGGTATGTATTGTATAAGTGGATAATTACTGACATGTATTGTATAAGTGGATAATTACTGGTATGTATTGTATAAGTGGATAATTACTGACATATATTGTATAAGTGGATAATTACTGACATGTATTGTATAAGTGGATAATTACTGACATGTATTGTATAAGTGGATAATTACTGATATTGTTGTATAAGTGGATAATTACTGACATGTATTGTATAAGTGGATAATTACTGACATGTATTGTATAAGTGGATAATTACTGACATGTATTGTATAAGTGGATAATTACTGACATGTATTGTATAAGTGGATAATTACAGACATGTATTGTATAAGTGGATAATTACTTATATGTATTGTATAAGTGGATAATTACTGGTATGTATTGTATAAGTGGATAATTACTGACATGTATTGTATAAGTGGATAATTACTGACATGTATTGTATAAGTGGATAATTACTGACATGTATTGTATAAGTGGATAATTACTGACATGTACTATATAAGTGGATAATTACTGGTATATATTGTATAAGTGGATAATTACTTATATGTATTGTATAAGTGGATAATTACTGGTATGTATTGTATAAGTGGATAATTACTGACATGTATTGTATAAGTGGATAATTACTGGTATGTATTGTATAAGTGGATAATTACTGACATGTATTGTATAAGTGGATAATTACTGACATGTACTATATAAGTGGATAATTACTGGTATATATTGTATAAGTGGATAATTACTTATATGTATTGTATAAGTGGATAATTACTGACATGTATTGTATAAGTGGATAATTACAGACATGTATTGTATAAGTGGATAATTACTGACATGTATTGTATAAGTGGATAATTACAGACATGTATTGTATAAGTGGATAATTACTGACATGTACTATATAAGTGGATAATTACTGGTATTTATTGTATAAGTGGATAATTACTTATATGTATTGTATAAGTGGATAATTACTGGTATGTATTGTATAAGTGGATAATTACTGACATGTATTGTATAAGTGGATAATTACCGATATGTATTGTATAAGTGGATAATTACCGACATGTATTGTATAAGTGGATAATTACTGACAGGTATTGTATAAGTGGATATTTACTGACATGTATTGTATAAGTGGATAATTACTGACATGTATTGTATAAGTGGATAATTACTGACATGTATTGTATAAGTGGATAATTACCGATATGTATTGTATAAGTGGATAATTACCGACATGTATTGTATAAGTGGATAATTACTGACAGGTATTGTATAAGTGGATATTTACTGACATGTATTGTATAAGTGGATAATTACAGATATGTATTGTATAAGTGGATAATTACTGACATGTATTGTATAAGTGGATAATTACTGACATGTATTGTATAAGTGGATAATTACTGACATGTATTGTATAAGTGGATAATTACAGATATGTATTGTATAAGTGCTTGTACCCCTCTTGGCATTGCTCCTCCCATGGGGAAGTCAGCTCCATCAAGACCATTATGCACATTATTTCCATTCCATGTACACATGCATGAAATTCATATTGTATAAAGTTTCAAGATAAGGGTTACTAAATTATTCACAGTGTTTTATTGTTATGTAAACCAAAGGTATTTAATTCTTAAAACCAAATGGAATCAATATCACATTCAACAGAGACTCAAAATGGGATGAAAATACAGGAATTTTGGTTTCATTTTCAGTTTTACAATGTAAACAAAATGTACTATCAGCCAGACTTATTTTACATAGATATGTGTTAGTTGTCAAAATATGTTGATTAACTCTAAATTGCAGCCATTGTAACTTTGTATTTCTAATAATTATAATCTTATATATATATTTCCCTCCATTTATCTTTGTCGTATTCAAATGTTTCTGCCAATTTTTTTTCTTTCAGCAGATATGGAATTGTATTTGACAAATACATTATAGAAATCTTTTATTCTGTTTTTGTTCATAATTCTAGTAAATAATTCTAAACTAATTGAGGCATATGGATAACTTATTTCACAGTTAAAATATCATAATGCAAAATAATCTTTCTGTGGAATTAATAAAATTAATTAATAAAATTAATTAAAAAATTTGTAAAAGTTCTGTGTGAAAATAACCCTCTAACACTCTCTTGGATAGAATCATTTAGGATTACACCTTTCTTACACCTTTTGCTGTAAAATATCCTGTTGTTATCAATCTGTGTTTGTTAATTGTGCAGATAGGTAACATAAGAATGTTTTCTTTCCTATATCTAAAACTTCCAGTTTGTACGACTAGCCTACTCTTTTTTACACACCTTTCAAAATGAATTTTTACGGTTTTGTTGGCATTGATGAATGTAGTGCTTACAAAGATTAGCTAGAATATTCTTGTTTCTGTATACCCTTGTATTTTCCATGCGTTGTATATAGCCCACATGTTAGTTATAAAGAGTCAATATCATTTCAAGTCCCCTTCACAATAGTTCACAAAAGCAACATGGAGTATATCTTTTTGTTTTATCTGACTTATGTTCTGTGTTTAGCTTTTCGATAAAGAATTTGTGGTGATTTTGCAAGGACAGATGGTTGAATTGAGATATAAGAAGGAATAAACAATATGCACTGTGTCTGAATCCTTCTATTCCATGCTTTACTTATATAAGATTAACTGATTTATTTGGTCACAATTAAGTCTGAAAATCTAGTGAAGGTCCACATTAAATTAAATACATAAAGCTTTAGCAATTCTCCATTGTAAATTCCACTCTGGAAAGTATATAGCATTGCTACATTTTTAACTTCTAATCCAAATTTGTGTTCTGCCTTTAGTTTCTTTCAGAGCGAAACATTTTGCAAAATTGTTGAATTTATTAAATGAGTTCTTTAAAGACATTTTTTACTATTTGAAATCACTGATGTATCATCATCAGTATATATTGACAATAAAATTGAAGTAATATCTATGTTTTTATTTATTTATTAGCTAACCTGGCCTGAAGGTCCAAGTGAGCTTATGCTGTGGCGCAGTGTCCGTCATATGGCATTTAGTTTCTTCTTTAAACAACTTCTTCTGAATAACCAATAGATGGAATGTTTTGATATTTGGCTGGTATATTCCTAGGATGAAGCCAGACAAAGTTTACAAAAAGAAATGAACTTGACCTATGTTCAAGATCAAAGGTGTCAAATTATTAAAAACATTTCAATGACTTCTTCCCATGAACCTAGAGGCATATTTGGCTGGTATATATATATATATATATATATACCAGGTAAGTGCTGCAGGCCCATTGGGCCTCTTGTTTTCTTATTCTTATTTCATTAGTGAGTATTTCAACGCATAGTTTGAAGATATTAGGGGCAATAGGGTATCCTTGAAAGTTAACTGCCTTGATTTCAAAAAAAAAAAAAAAGATAGAATATTATTGATGAAATCCCAACAAAGAGAATCAAAAGCCTTTTCAGAGTCTATAATTAAAATATAATAATTCTAAATCATTGAATTATTAATTTTGTTGGGTTTGCAATGAATGTTTTCCTAAATACTTGTTGCTTCTTGTCTTATAGTGATGTCAACTATTACCTAAGGTCCTTCCTTTGCTGTTTAAGACAATGATCTTGTGTTGGTTTCACTCCAGGTATAGTCACTTCAATTCCTTTAGTTTCCTGCTATTTTAGAATATGGTATAAAATCACAAAATGCACATTGTAACATATAATAACAAAAAAACCAAGGTCTGCTTCATGATTTCTGTTTGCTTCGAGCTTTCAGTTATTTAAACACTGAAAATTTTAACTGTCATTGTTTAATTTTACAGTACTGATATATACTGACATGTACCGATAGCTACTGATATGTATTATGATAAAGTGGGTGGGTTTATGTGACGAGGTCCCCGTTCCCCATTGGCTCTACACACCTCCCCCCCCCCCACCCTCACCATAATGCATTACCTTGGCATGTATTCACCACTACTTTCCTTTATTTCTGCCTGTCAGCTGTGCTGTTTTCTCATGATTCTCATGCATGGGTGACCAGAACATAGATGGAGAAATACTCACCATAGCTTTCCAGCAAATATTCCACAACATGCTTGTACTGAGACACACTTTTACCTCTAAAGGGTATTTCCACTTTGTTTTCTTGTGTGCTTCCTATATGCACTCACTCTTGGCCATGGCTGACACAACCCTAGCAGCACAGATCCATGGATGGACATCTGCAATCTTTACTTTGTATGTGGATCTGTCTTCACCAATCAGAATGTCTTGTGCCTGTTCTGCTGTGATGACCCATTCTGGCTGCAGTCCTCATTAGTATCTTTCTGTTTGTCCTTCAATATATCTGTCATCAGGTGTATCATTGGTACTTCTGTACAGCAATACGTACGGGAAGGTAGGTTGTGTGAAAACAACAAATCTTCACATTCAGTGATGTAAGGAACAACAACTCTGAGTAGAAATTGGTTCACAATGTATTGGTTGATACGTTATAATTAAATCACAATTCTTGGGTACCACTAACTTATTGTAATGTCATAATTTGGATGAAGACTTTATGCCATGAATTGAAAATGGTCATGCATGTGCTTGCCAAGACTCGCAAAAATAACTTGTTTCATAAAATCTCATATGAAATGAAAACTCATCTATCACACATGATTGCCGTTTTATTCATTGAATAATCTCATAAAGCCAATTTAAACATCAGGATTAGATAATGAACTGAGGTCACACTTTTTGCATATAAATTAGTGATATTACAATAGAGATCAAACGATAAAGGGTCGAGAGGACTTAACATAACAAACAAAATATTTAGATTTGATAACTAAATTTATTTTCTCTAAAATGTCACCTTTTTTCATGTAAATGACACATTTCTGACATCAACTATTTCTTGGGTTTGGTAAGGAGCTTAAATGAATAACACAATGTACTGTAGAGTGTAATTGTAATATCAGAAAAATGGTTTAAAATAGTCTGAATGTAGATAATCTGAAAACACAATTATGTTTTGATTCGTCATATAATTTTGTAAATGTTCATTTTAATTTCTTAAACCATTTATTTCCATAAATCTAAAAAAAATTTTGTTCAAGCGGAGATCACTTCTGAACACTTTTGGGTTGTGGTCCCTTTAATTCACAGTGTGCTGTACCACTTTCTTTAAGAAGAGAAACATCTTATTGAATTTAAAAATGGCTCATTTGATGCTTCATTAATAAACACCCCAACTCAATGAAAAACCTACTAGCTACACGAAAACAAAAAGAAGAAATTAATAAATTTTCATAAAATGTCTATTCAAGAAACATGAAGCAGGCTCTAAAAACAGCTTTCCTTCACATGTTCATGTGATCATAATTTATACTAATTCTGTGGAGGCCATCTACAGTAAGTAAGCTTATTTTCAAACGTCTCAGTAAAATATGAGAAAATATATTAAGACGTTAACAAAATGAATATCTGATAAGGCTTGTGTTAAATATACAGGAATAATGTCCATTAACTCAGGCCTGTCCACTTTTAACTCGATCTGCATGAAATTCAGCACAAACATTATATGATATTACTAAAACCATACAAAGAATTAATGAATGGATTTGCTGTTAAATCTGAAGACATCATATTAATAAATACTTCCATTTTAGCAAGATTATCAAATAATAAATCTGGAGAAAATAAATAGCCATCTGATTATAAATGCAAATGGAAGAGAAATAACAAACTAAATGTTTAATTGACTTAGAGATATATCACAGATATGGCTGATGAGTAGGACCTCGTGTACACAGTAAATATATCAACAGATGTGAAATGTGCTCTTAGGTACACATAGAGGCAGTGACATCATAAAATAAACCAGCCTTTACAGAAATATTTTACAAATCACTGTAACACATGGATGGAATCAATCTGTATTAACAGAAAATAAAGTTTTCTTATCAATTTCAACAAACTGAAACAGGCATGTAAACTCAACATGTATGATATTATCTAGAAATATAGTAAGCATGATTTTCTACATTTAGAAGGTAAAAAGTATTACCCTTTGTTAACTGGATTACTAAAACATTACAAAACAGATTGAGAGAGTTAAGATAATATTTCAAAATTTACTTTCAGTAAAAATAATTGAATTAATGAATCTAAAATAAAGGCCTGTTGATTTGTATTTTCCAAAAAAATTATTCCTTTTCAATTTTTTATCTTATTAAATTCTATTTATTTTTTTTTTTTTAATTTGATTTCAAACAATCTACTGCATGTAAGTTGTAAAATTCTTTATTAAGAATTCTCTTGTTACCAGTATTAAAACATTGGGATCACAGTTATCTCCCCTCTTTGATAAGCTTTTATTTTTCTTCCTGTTTCATTTGATCATTAATTGAAAACTGAAATCCATTGAGTAGTCTGGATGACTCAACAACAACTAGGTCAGGCCTAGTTTACTACATATCACATCAACATCTACCAAAAATAGAACATGGACGGAATGAAATACAACATATCATAAATAAATTTTCATACCAAATAACATTACAATCACATCAGAAACAAATAAAGTGTATAACATCTGTTTAAATCTTCATAAATCATAGAATATATGGAATGTATAGAATATAATGTGGAATGTATAGAATATAAAGTGGAATGAGTATATGTTAGAAATATGAAAATATTCTTTGATAAAATGTTCTTGTATCTCATCTTCTCTATATCTTTCAGGATATTGATGTGCAATTAGAATTAATTCTGCCCTTCTCATGTAATAAATATTCATAAAATTTTACTGCAGGAAATATGTCCAGTGACATGGATTTCGTTACCATTGAATATTGAAACTACATGTACTCCTTTCAGTATATTCATTGTTTTGCCTAGCAGGAAACTTTTCCTTAGTCAAACCTAAAGTTAGTACATACAAATGGTAAGGTGACACTACATAAAATTGTCCCAGTCTACCACGAACTGTATAACACTTTCAGGTTTTTCAGGTAATATTTTATATCTTTGAATCTTTAGAAATAATACAAAACATTCTAATTTATAAAAGAAAACTATCTATATCTGACAATTATAATAAAAGGATGCTGAGATCTTGTTGAAACTAACCTGTTGTTGGGAGGAACAGGACAGGTAGAACAGGCAAAAATAAAACTGGTGTTCAATACACAGTCCCATAAAATTTGTTTTACAAAATAGTTTCATATTGTATCTATCCTACAATAAGCCCATGTCTGGTAATAAGCCCACCTATATCTTACGCAGTTTCATTAGAAAAGCCAACAAATATTATTGTCTTGTTATAAGCCCATCCTTCAGTAATGTGTCTGGGTTTACGGTTGGCCCCTGGCTTATTGTAGGATAAATAGTGTAATTATGTCTTATAAGAACCTGTCCTTAACAATGAACTCTCTTCATTCTAGTCATAGAATCTTCCTAAATACTCCGGTACATATAACAAATTATACACAGCCTTTATCACAGACAGTATCTTCATCAATCTAAATATTAGCACCTCCATCTTGATTCTTTACCTTTACATCTGCTTATATCTGAAATGAAACCCTTGCATCAGCTGCTAGATGACGACTAGTCCAACAGTATATTATTTAGTCTCTTTGATTAAAACTTAACATTTTTTCCACTGTTACATAAAACATATTTTCCAATCTTTTTACCAATGGGCAAAACAGACCAAAGTTTCCCAGTATACGGTAGTTTCTTCTTTCTTACGTAAATGCACAAAAATCTGTAGACTTTATCTGAGAGAGAATCTTACATCCACACTATGCATATTTATAGATTAGCATGATCTTGAAAATGTTTTTGGTAAATGACCGAGAAAAATCAACACTAGGGGAAACAATCTTAATTAGCTAACAAGGTTTGTTCTAGTCCAGGGTGGACATTTTTGGTCATTAACAACTTGCCAAAAAAAGTGATTTTTCCCTCCAATCCTGTTAAACATATATTTGAAACTATCCGTAATTAGCGTTTTAATTTTAGTTTCTGGTTTGCAATAGTTCATTCCTATCAAAAAAAAGTATGATACAGTGCAATATCTGAAGGTTCCATCTTGGTGTTACAATACACACTGGGACCTTTTCTTAATGGATGAAATTCTGATCTTTTCAAGCTGACATAGGAGATGTTCCTGTGGGAGAAAAAACACCTTTAGGAACTAAAATTGGTCAGGCTGTGTTAGACCCAGTTAGGAATGTTCCACTTTTGAAGGGAAAGTTAAGTCTTCGTCTATAACAGCAAGCCCAGCAACAAGAAGTATGCATGTAGAATCCAAGTCCTGGATTCCAGTCACGCCTGACAATCAAGATAAAGTGTTCGTTGTTACTTTTTGTTTTGGCAATATCTATCTATTACTGTCACTGCTGACTGCATGATCAACACTTAATAATCCAATTTCTTTGTTGCACTTATGATCTTGAAATGTCTTGCTGGAAAGAAATTTAAAATTTCAACAAAATTTCTACAGATGGAGGCCAGGCACCAGTTCTGACACAAACAGCGTATGTATATGGGGAGAATGATGAGTTTTGGACGGCATCCTTTAACAGGCTTTATCTGAATCATCTCACATAGGACAACTCGTTCTCTTTTTTTTGTTTTAGGTACAGTAAACAAGATTAGGTGAGCTATTGTTTGTGAGTTTTGTCTCTTAATTTTTACAGTATGGTACATGATTTAGATGGTTGGTTCTGTGTACCTCCGTTCCCGTACTCCGATAATTTGACATCCTTTCTATCAAGTTCCTTTTTCAGAGAACTAATTTCTTTGTCTTTTTCCTCATCTTCCTTTGCCAGCCTCAACAACTGTTGCTGTAGGTCCCTGATCTTCTGTTCGCTGTCCTCACTGCCTCCGTCATGTATCTGACTCCTCAGTTTCTTTATCTCTTCCTCCAGTTCATTGATTTTGGACTGTTTTTCCGTATTTTCGTTACTGACTTCTGTCACTTTGGATTCCATTGCCACATATTTTCCCTTTATCTCATCAAACTGGCTTTTCATTTTGTTAAATTCTGCCTCTAGATTTACATTCTGATCCATTAGCTGTTGAAATGCTTCCTTTTCAGCATTTTGATTCATCAACATGGATTCCTGCTGTAGCTCTTTCTCCTTCTCTTTGTTTTCACTTTGTTCTTCTTCTGTGGCCTCCTCTGTCTTTGTGACCTCCTCAGGTTTTCCCTCTTTCTGTTCCTCCTCAACCTTGCTTTGTTCATCAGCCTGAGAATCATTCACCGTCTCTGTAACCCCAGCATCAGTCACAGGTACGGTAGGTGTATCATCAGGCTTTGTTTCATCACCCTTTTGTTCCTCAGTCTTTTCAGTTACAGACTCACCTTCCTTTTCATCATTAACATCTGTTTTTTCCTCTACCTTCCCCTCAGATTGCCCCTCGGTAGTATCTTGTTGTGGTTCCGCTCCAGTGGGAACATTTTCTGATGTTTCCTGTTCAGTGGTCTCTTGCTGACCCTCATTATCCTCTTTTGATGTTTCAGTATCCATGGTTTCTCCTGGATTGTCTGCTCCTGTTGCTATGACACCTAGTTCTTCAGAATCTCCCTTGTTCTCATCTGATTGTGAATCAGGTTTTAAAACTCCTTCGTCTTCAGTCAGTACACAGAGTTCTACCTTGTTTTCTGGAAAAAAACCAACAAAAATTATATTAAATCAATTTTGTTTGTTCACTTCAAAATCAAAATCACTGTGTTAAAATTAAACATCAATTTTGTATTGTTAATCGATGAATCAAACTTCATAATCAGACACAGAAATGAAAGTATAGCATGAATAAGCTCATACAGAATATTACAAAAAGTATGGCATGAATGAGCTCATACAGAATATTACAAAAAGTATGGCATGAATGATATCATACAGAATATTACAAAAAGTATGGCATGATTGATATCATACAGAATATTACAAAAAGTATGACATGAATGATATCATACAGAATATTACAAAAAGTATGGCATGAATGATGTCATACAGAATATTACAAAAAGTATGGCATGAATGATATCACACAGGTTATTACAAAAAGTATGGCATGAAAGATATCATACAGAATATTACAAAAAGTATTGCATGAATGATGTCATACAGAATATTACAAAAAGTATGGCATGAATGATATCATACAGAATATTACAAAAAGTATGGCATGAATAAGCTCATACAGAATATTACAAAAAGTATGGCATGAATGATATCATACAAAATATTACAAAAAGGATTATGAGGACATGTACTGGCATCATTAAAAATTAACTGTAATCAATATTATGTAATGATAGACCTTCAGGGTTTAATAAAACAAAAACAAGAAGAGATAATTGCCAATTACTGGCATGTCTAAGAAAACCTATAAGAACACAACAAAATCATGATGTTACCAGATTAAGGCCAGTAACAGTACATCCTTTATATTGGAGCTAATTAGGCCTGACCTGCCTATGTCATAGACTGTTAAAATACTAATGGCTTTAAGGCCAGTAACAGTACATCCTTTATATTGGAGCTAATTAGGCCTGACCTGCCTATGTCATAGACTGTTAAAATACTAATGGCTTTAAGGCCAGTAACAGTACATCCTTTATATTGGAGCTAATTAGGCCTGACCTGCCTATGTCATAGACTGTTAAAATACTAATGGCTTTAAGGCCAGTAACAGTACATCCTTTATATTGGAGCTAATTAGGCCTGACCTGCCTATGTCATAGACTGTTAAAATACTAATGGCTTTAAGGCCAGTAACAGTACATCCTTTATATTGGAGCTAATTAGGCCTGACCTGCCTATGTCATAGACTGTTAAAATACTAATGGCTTTAAGCAGAGCCTAGTCACATGGAGGCAATGAACTAAATCAATTATTAAAGTTGGAAAAAATTGGACTAGGTGTCATACATGAAGTCTGTGATACCCTACAAGTATGCTATATAGATGTGTGTTTATCATCTGTATCTGTGTAGGAATAATGTCTGAAGGTCATTTTGTCAGGAATATGAAAATGATCTGCTCAAAGTTTTGAAAAAAAAGTTTCATATGACAGCTGAAGTGTTACTTAAGAATTTATCTGACAAAAAGATTAACTAAAACAGACAGAAACCTAATGATTTACCAGACAGATACCTAACGATTTACCAGACAGAAACCTTACGATTTACCAGACAGAAACCTAACGATTTACGAGACAGAAACCTTACGATTTACCAGACAGAAACCTTACGATTTACCAGAAATCTGGTGATTAACAAGACAGAAATCTGAGGATTAACAAGACTGAAATCTGGGGATTAACAAGACAGAAATTTCAGGAGTAACAAGACAGAAATCTGGTGATTAACAAGACAGAAATCTGAGGATTAACAAGACAGAAATCTGGTGATTAACAAGACAAAAATCTGGGGATTAACAAGACAGAAATCTGGAGATTAACAAGACAGAAATCTGGAGATTAACAAGACAGAAATCTGGTGATTAACAAGACAGAAATCTGAGGATTAACAAGACAGAAATCAGGGGATTAACAGGACAGAAATCTGGTGATTAACAAGACAGAAATCTGGAGATTAACAAGACAGAAATCTGGGGATTAACAAGACAGAAATCTGGTGATTAACAAGACAGAAATCTGAGGATTAACAAGACAAAAATCTGGGGATTAACAAGACAGAAATCTGGAGATTAACAAGACAGAAATCTGGGGATTAACAAGACAGAAATCTGAGGATTAACAAGACAGAAATCTGGGGATTAACAAGACAGAAATCTGGTGATTAACAAGACAGAAATCTGGGGATTAACAAGACAGAAATCTGAGGAGTAACAAGACAGAAATCTGGAGATTAACAAGACAGAAATCTGGGGATTAACAAGACAGAAATCTGGGGATTAACAAGACAGAAATCTGAGGATTAACAAGACAAAAATCTGGGGATTAACAAGACAGAAATCTGGAGATTAACAAGACAGAAATCTGGGGATTAACAAGACAGAAATCTGAGGATTAACAAGACAGAAATCTGGGGATTAACAAGACAGAAATCTGAGGAGTAACAAGACAGAAATCTGAGGAGTAACAAGACAGAAATCTGAGGATTAACAAGACAGAAATCTAAGGATTAACCAGACAGAAATCTGGGGATTAACAAGACAGAAATCTGGGGATTAACAAGACAGAAATCTGAGGAGTAACAAGACAGAAATCTGGAGATTAACAAGACAGAAATCTGGGGATTAACAAGACAGAAATCTGAGGATTAACAAGACAGAAATCAGGGGATTAACAGGACAGAAATCTGGTGATTAACAAGACAGAAATCTGGAGATTAACAAGACAGAAATCTGAGGATTAACAAGACAGAAATCTGGGGATTAACAAGACAGAAATCTGGAGATTAACAAGACAGAAATCTGGGGATTAACAAGACAGAAATCTGGGGATTAACAAGACAGAAATCTGGAGATTAACAAGACAGAAATCTGGTGATTAACAAGACAGAAATCTGAGGATTAACAAGACAAAAATCTGGGGATTAACAAGACAGAAATCTGGAGATTAACAAGACAGAAATCTGGGGATTAACAAGACAGAAATCTGAGGATTAACAAGACAGAAATCTGGGGATTAACAAGACAGAAATCTGGTGATTAACAAGACAGAAATCTGGGGATTAACAAGACAGAAATCTGAGGAGTAACAAGACAGAAATCTGGAGATTAACAAGACAGAAATCTGGGGATTAACAAGACAGAAATCTGGGGATTAACAAGACAGAAATCTGAGGATTAACAAGACAAAAATCTGGGGATTAACAAGACAGAAATCTGGAGATTAACAAGACAGAAATCTGGGGATTAACAAGACAGAAATCTGAGGATTAACAAGACAGAAATCTGGGGATTAACAAGACAGAAATCTGAGGAGTAACAAGACAGAAATCTGAGGAGTAACAAGACAGAAATCTGAGGATTAACCAGACAGAAATCTGGGGATTAACAAGACAGAAATCTGGGGATTAACAAGACAGAAATCTGAGGAGTAACAAGACAGAAATCTGGAGATTAACAAGACAGAAATCTGGGGATTAACATGGCAGAAAAACAAGACAGAAATCTGAGGATTAATAAGATAGAAAACTTTGAATTTACCCGACAGAAATTTGAGGATTAACCAGACAGAAATATTTACCAGATAAAACTCTTAGCAGTAATGTCAACACAATTTATTACACAACATTCACCTGTTCTATTTTTAGTTTTATATATATGCTTAATGGTATCCAGAAATGTTACAGTGTGTACTGATCATAGAAAATAAACAAAACACCTGTATATTGGTCAATAAAAGGTCTTACCTGGTCAGGAGAAGGAGTAAATCAATAGAAACAAGCCATTACAATGTAGGAAACAGGAAGGTGTGGCACCTCAGACAATTTGGAAATATGAATCATTCTGATATCTTAATCCATACAAACGTCTAATACATGGCTCAAGTACATGATTGCGACTGATTACTACATAAAACACTCATGGCAACAGTACATAAATGATCAGGGGTTCGGATAATAGTCTCCATTTGTGGACCCAAACAATAACTGGATTGATTAGACTAACATTCTACATCGTGACCTTACTTAAAGTGAGTTGTAGTAAATCACAGACATCATCACCTTACTTATAGTCACAAAATGGAACTTTCCTTTGTAAACTAAAAATAGTATGACTTAAAATTCATTTTTATGCTAGGCAAACTTCAAATCTGGAAAGGTTTCAACACTGGGTATGTATCAGATTTTATTTTTAAATATTTGATAAATTTCTGTTAAACATCTGCTAAAGTGTATCTCTATATATATATATATATATATATCCTTCAAGTATTAACCTTTAGCTCTGTCCTGTAAAGTTAATTTGATATCTTTTCAGATCTGACACACCCCAAGTTTGAGCTTTAATCTATTAAACCTCTGGGTCGACTTTGGTGAAACTGTTGAACTTTAACTCTATACATAATCCAATTCAAATTGTGTGCTAAATATACTTTCCCACACAGACTATGTATGAATCCACTGCAAAAGTTCTGGCTGTGTGACTTTCAGTCTGTTAAAGTATCTTCAGTGATGAAAACAGTAATATCTTCCCTCTCCATGCAACGTTGCTTACTGAGTAGATTACTTCCGAGTACACTGCATGCATGACCATAGCTGTCTCTATGTCTACATGTACATAGTACAGTAGGTTACAATGGTTTACAGCAGGACCTATTTTATTATAAACTAATTACCCTCACAGGCACACCCATTACACAGTATCAATATAAAACTAATTAACAAATCGTTAAAAAAGGAAAATTTCAAGGATCTTGCATGTTTTATCACAATTATAGGTTGTAAGACAGGAATTGTCTTGGAACACTAATTATCTCCATAAAGCAATCAATATTCCAAAGATTCCACCAATCACTGCCTTCCTTTGTATAGTAACAGGTAATGTCAATCTAATTAAGATTAAATCCCTGTCTTAAACTCGGTACATTAATTACAACTAAGTTAAAAACTAGACAATACCTATAGGACATGGAATCCCCAACGTCTGAACTCAAACCAGAATCTGATCAGTGTCAAGGACTA